AATAACTGCTAAAAATATTTTCCCATCTGTGGGTTGTCTCTTCACTCTGTTGGTAATTTCTGTCACTGTTCAAAACTTTTCAATATGATGTGATCCCAGTAGTTGATTCTTTGTAATATTTCCTGTGTGGTAGGATATTGTTCATAAAATCTTTGCCTACATCCATTTTCAAAAGTTTCACCTGTTCTATTTTCCAGCAAATTGTTTCTGCTTCAATATTTAGTTCTTTGATCCATTTTGATTTTAGTTTAGTCCATGATGAGAGACATGGATCTAGGTTTAATCTTTAGCATGTGGAGAGTCATTTTTTCCAGCATCATTTATTAAAGAGGCTATCTTTTTTTCCAGTGAAAGTGTTTGGCCCCTTTGTCAAGGATAAGATGGCTGAGAGAATTTGGAGTTGATTATGCATCTCCCATTTTGGTTCTTCAATAATTAGGTCAAGTTTTTTTGCCATTACCATGTTGCTTTTACAATGGTAGCTTTGTAGTATACTTTCAAGCTGAGAATTGTGAAACTCCTTGCCTTCTTCCTTGTTGCCCAGAATTACCTTTGCTCTTCTAGTTCTCTTGGTTCCAAATGAATTTTAGGATTGCTTCCTACAGTGCTGTGAAGTATGCTATATGGATTTTGATTAGGATTGCATTAAACCTACATAACAGTTTTGGAAATATGGCTGTTTTCATGATATTGGTTCTGCCTACCCGAGAACGAGAGTTATGCTTCCATTTTTCTGAAATCCTTTTGACCTCCTTTTTCAGAGTAACTACTTTTTCATGTAAAGGTCTTTTACTTCTTTCATTAGATTGATTTCTAATATTCCATTTTTATTGATGCTATTGTGAAAGGTATTATTTCCCTAATTTCCCTCTCAGTGAGTTTTTTTTTAAACTAATGTACAGGAATGCTATTGATTTTTGATTGTCCAATTTGTATCCAGCTATGCTACTGAATTTTGTTATTAAATTTAGGAGTCTTTTAGTGGAGTTTTTGGAATCTTATGTGTAAAATATTATGTCATCTCCAAATAATGATAATGTAACTTCTTTGTTTCCTGTTCTTATCCCTTTTCTTTCTTGCTCTTGTCTAATGGCTCTGGCTAATGTTTCCAGAACTGGATTGAATAGGAGTGGTGATAATGGACATCCTTGTCTTGTTCCTAATTTTAGAGTAAAGGCTTTCATTTTTTGTCCATTTAGTATGATGTCGGCTATTGGGTTGTCATAGGTAGCTTTTAACAGTTGAAATAGACCTTCTGTTCCAATTTTCTGTAAGTTTTTTTTTATCCTGAATGGGTTTTATACTTCACACAATGCCTTGTCTGTGTCTATTGAGATGATCACATGGGTTTTGCCCTTGGTTCTGTTAATGTGGTACATTGCACTTATTAATTTGCATATGTTGCATCCCTGGGATGAATCATACTTGGTCATGGTGTATAATATTCTAGATGATTTGCTGCATTCTAGTATCTGACTGAGAATTTTTTGCATCTATGTTCAATAAGGAGATTGGCCTGTAGTTCTGTTTTTCAGTTGGATCCTTTCTTGGCTTTGGTGTCAGGGTCATGTTTGTTTCTGGGAATGAGTCTGGAAGTATTGCTTCCTTTTTAATTTCATTAAAGAGTTTGAGGAGCCATGGCATTTGATCTTCTTTAAATTTGCTATATTCTTTAATCATTTTAAAGATTTCTATTTTTATGGTTCTGTTTCATTGTAAATAAATCACATGCTTCCCTCCCCTCAAATCATTCAAGATAGTGAGAGAACAAGAAGGGTTAATTGAGATCTTTACACCACTGGAAAAAAAGCCCCTTTCCCATGGTACTATAGACTTTTACATCAAGTCTCCCAGCAGATTAGCGTCAGCTTTCCTCTTCTCCTGCCTGGGACTGCATTACATGCCAGGAGCTGCTGAGAAGGGTTATGACCTACTAACGGAAAGCCAAAGGGACATGGAGTGACCAAAGCTCCATCTGAGAAATCGTTCCCTAAATAGTCATGAACTGACTGACAGAGGACAAAAGGATCAGCTAAGCTCATACCGTGACAGGGCAAGGCAGTGTACTCATTATCAAAGTCCTGTATGTGAGCACATTCACCACAGAATTCCAGAGTTACACAACCTCCTGTGACAAAAAAGAAAACCACCTTTCAGCATAGCAGTCTAACTGGGCATGGATGGACTGACCTGCTGTCTCTAGCAGTCACCAAGTAAAGGATAGTCCTAGGAGGTGGTTTATTCTCAGTAACTGTGTTGGCCTTGAGGAGAGGTTAAATGCCAGGTCTCATGAGCCAACAAAAAAGAAACCAGGGCTATGAACAGGCATGCGGGAGGTATGAGAAATTCTGTCCTGCTGGACAGAAAGAATCCAAAGTGACATTCCATACAGGAAACTGCTTGCTTGATTTTAACAATTATCAGCTTCAGACTCTCAGATGCTAAATGCAAATCACTCACCCAATCCAGAAATGTTTATGACACCACCAGCAAAAAGAAATTGTGAAAAATGATTACAACTTCTGCCATGCAGCTCCACTCCAATTACCACGTAGTTAAACTAACTTAGACACATAATACTTGTTTATAGCAAGCCAAAAGACAAACCTGGGATTCTGAGGTGAAAACCTTTGGACAGTCATAACTAAGAGAGCGGCAGTAGAGACAGAGACACTTCTTTTTCTTTCGATGCTCTGCTGAGTTTCTCCCGGTGTCTCAGGCCTGCTTTTCTTACTTCAGGCTGGGCTGTGGTGATGCATTCTTGAGGGCAGGAAATTCTCAACTGTGACATTATCCCAAGTCTACTTTTAAGTGACGGCTCTAGGGACACAGTGAGGGTTGTAACTGTTAAATGCCTCTATCCAGGGCTAGTTTCTTATAGTCCCCAGTAACGTCTCCCTCATAAATAATCCCAAGGCTCAGAGAATTCTCCCTACTTCCTGTCACAGAGCCGTCACATGCTTTTAAAGAGAAGAGTAATTGTCACAAAGCAGGATAGAAGCAGCTGGCCGTGGTGCTGTACGCCTGCAGTCCTAGCACATGACAGGATAAGGAAGGAGGCTCACTGAGAGTCTGAGGACAGCATGGGCTATGTAGCAAGTTCAAGGGCTGCCTGAACTACATAGCGAGATCCTGTCTCAAAAGACCAAAACAACAAGCAAATAAAACAGGACAAAGTTGTGGATGTCAGGACTCTTCCTACACTACAGCTCAAGGGGTTTCCAGGCCCAGTTAGGGTGCCACTGCGGAACCAGTCCCCCTCACTCTGAGGGTACTGTGAGCAAGCACTTGAGCTGCTTTGTTTGTAGGATGGACGGCCAGTAGAATTTTCTGGAAGTGACTTCAGGGTTGGTTGCTATTCTCTGGTTGCTATTCAGTCCCACAGTGCTGGTGCTAAGTTAGAGCACAGAATAAAGTGAAGGAAACCGCTAGGATATCTGCAGGCTCATACTGACTGGTGCTAACTAGAAACATGCCCCTTTCCTCCAGCAAAAGAACAGTTACAAGCGGCCCCCTCCGTGTGGGCCATTTCCAGGAAAGAGCCCCCTTTAAGACCGATGTTTAAAAGAAACAGCTTTTGCCAGGCACAGGGCCTTGTTAGCAGAGTCTGGACCTGAGGTCAGCCCCACTCTGGTCCTCTGAGTGGTCACAAGAGCATACGTGTCCTAGGAAGCTCCACAAGAAGGCTTGGATACGAGGTTCTGTCACTCAGCCTTCTGTATCAGACTATTTGGCCAAGATGTTACCAGCCAGAAGTGGGGACATAGTTCAGTGGGCAAAGAGATTGCCTGGGACTTATGAAGCCCTTATTTCAATCTGCAGCATTCCCAAAATAGGAAATATTATTACTGCCTGGTGAAAAGCGCTCTTCCTCTTGGTGCCTTCATGTATATCATGTCAGTTAATCATTTGTGAGGGGACATTTTACAGATGAGGAAACTTAAGTATGTTGCCTGAGGTTGATGAAATTCGGATCTTTATCTTGCTACTTTTTAGCATTCATGATTCCTCCCTGGTTTATTTTTTCCACTGCTCTTTTACTGACACTGTGTACTCCATTTCTCATTTGTATTTTGTCAGTTGCTCCAGGTAGAATATAAACGTCATGTGGGCAAACATTTCATGAGTGTTTTACCACTGCTGCGGTAGGACAGAGTGTTTAGGACAGAGCTGGGCTATGATATTTCTTAGACACAGAGCTATAACATTCCTTAAACACACAACTATTCAAACATCAGAATTCTCCCATACTAACTTATTTTGACAGCCACTGGCAAGTACTTACATTGTGCTTTAAATTACCCCAGAGGAAACAGTATATGAACACAAAGTGTCATTGCTGTCATTGGGGTTTCCTTCGGTTTTAAAAAGTCACTTTATACATCCTGAAATGAGGTTCATGACTTATAGGTGGTTTTGATTAAAATCTCCTATTGTAAAATTCACACACACTTTCAAGAGAAATTCCAGGCTAATAAGCTAGGGTGCTTTCTGTTTACTAAGATTATACTTTGTCTGATGACAGGTTCATTTTCTTTCTTTTCTTTTCTTTTTTTTTTTAAAGGCAAGATCTCGCTACATTGCCCACGCTGGTATTAACTACCTGGTGATGTTCTTCTCCAAGTCTCTGGAGCAGCTGTGACTACAGGTGCATGCCACCAACCCCAGTTTATGGGTGAGTTTTTGGACAATACAAACAAAATTGTCAACCACCGCTATGCTCCGGTAGCAATCAGCATGGAGTAAGTTTCTGTGATACTTGATAAAGTTGTTGCACTGTTGTGCTCAAACCTCAGAACGAACCACTCCTTTAAAATAGAATTCTTATTGTTAGTTACTCAAGTTTGGCAAGCTAAGTATCGTACATCAGATCTTAAAGGTTACAAGTGTTAGGCTTTGAGAAACAACACAGAACTGCACATTTTGATTAATCTTACATAATCTCTGACCTAGTTTATTAAAAGTTTGCCTTATGCATGACACTGAACTGCATCGGCTTGTTGGAGGAACAAAGGGAGCTTTTAGAGATGGTCTCTGCCTTCCTGGAATTTACACAAAGAAAGGAAGAAAGCTCGGAGTTAGTTTTGCATATTTTAGTGCCCAACAATGACCGTTGATTTTTTCTTGTTGTTAGACAAGCCTGGCAACCTAGCACTATTTCATCTCTCTCCCTGAGTTTACCAGAACCTAATGCTGAATTGGAAAATGTTATTTGCTTTAACGAAACAATTTACTGTTGTGCAACATTAAGTTGTGTCAATCAAGTAAACAAAGGAAGAAAGCCCTATTTATAAAATTGCCTGCTTCTGATTTTACTTCACTGCTACTCTGGCTCCAAGAAAGGAAGAAAATGAAGCTTTTTGTGCTTGGTATTTTTCTGTTTTTATATAGTACTCCAGCCTGGACAAGAGATAAGCATTATTATATTGGAATTAAGGAGAGATCATGGAATTATGCCCCTGACAACGAGAAAAAGGAACTTATTTCAGTTGACAAGTAAGTCACTATTTTTATTGCTTGTGGACAGAATATACAATTTATGAATTTAAACATAAAGCCAGTAAGATGAAATATTTCTTTAATGTGTTATACACAGAAACTGCAAACCATAGGCTTGAAATTCAAGATACTTTAATCAGTCTCCTCTATATTCTGAATATTTTTCATTAGACAGTTAACCCAACCGTTTCACATTGGTCTTGGCGAACAGGGCTAGCTGGCTGGTCATTAATTGCATCTTCCACCAACATTCCTTTTGTCTGATAATGTAGATTTTTAATTTGAACAGTGACTGTATGAGATGTTATGTTTATGACACCATAAGATGCTTATTAATGGGAAGGATGGAATTTTTAAAATCCTTCTATATATCACTTATAGAAATAAAATATAATTTTAACAAATAAGATTCTTCCTAATACTTATTGGGTCACCTTGCACAGTGAATGAATGAAATTCATCTTTCCCAGCATAAGAGTCCCTACCTGTACAAAGGGATAATAATCACACCTCATAGCACTGATCAAAGAGTGAGTGCATGTAAAACTCAGCACTGCACAAAAATACTCAGCAATCATATATATGTACCAAAAGGGTCACATACTTATTTTCATGACTCTGAAAACACTCTATGTGGTTTAAATGTATGTTTTCAAGTGTGGTTTGAAAACTCCTTGGTGTCTAGCAGTATTCCCTATATAAAATAAAGCAAAATATACAGATATCTTCAAAGTATTTCTTTTGCAATCATGGAACTTTATTTATACTGAGGCTATCAGTTTAAATAATATTGATTAAACATTTACCACAAATGGAAATTGTGCATCCAAAACCAACATTCATCACATTAACAGATGCAGGTTAGTGGTGATTAAATACAGGTAAGCCCAATGACCAGTAGCTGCAGAGACTGTATCTTTAAAACATGGTTAAGTATGCCAAATACCGTAACTATTGACTCTTATTAATGAATATATACCATTCTGTTTAATTTTATATATGATTGAAGTTTCATGTAAAAAATCCATAGCTGGAAATAATATGTAACTGCTATGTTATTAAGTTAGTAATTATAATGAGGAAAATTCTGACCTAAAGATAACTGGATATAAAGACAACTAGTACATCTTGCAACTATTATTTTTTGAAATCTGATTTAGCAATACTATTCTGAGGAGTATTTCGTATTTTTACTGCATCACTAGAAACATTATATTGTATGGATTCAGTGTTATCCTGGTTAAATAAAATGTAAACTATTATGGCTTTTATTTCTAAGGAAAAAAATCGGGTATATTAAAGGATAAAAATGCTACACTCAGAGTATAGCTTAACGGCAGAGCACTTGCCTAGCATGTGCGTTATCCTGAGTTTGATCTCTATTATTGCAATAAATGAATACATAAATGAAAGTGTTGTCATACTTGATGCTACCATTAAGTGTCTGCCATTTTTCATAATAAAAAATCAAGTCAATTGACTGGGCATAAATTAAGTGCAACAGGTCCCCAATCATGCTCCTAAAAGAAGTCTCTAATTATAGAAATTAGGGAACAGAAGAGTGAAGGAGGTTGGTAAGAATTTGGTGGTGATGGTGGGGATTCATTTACTTTCAGATACTCTTGGGTGCTGCCTCTTCCAGCGTGTGCAATGAGTATAAGTTTATTTACACCACTGTTATGTACTAGGGATATTTAAGGATATTTGGAAAGAAAATTGGGACATTTTCCAGCTGACATTCACCTTTCTTTTTGCCTTTGAGCTCTAGTCTTTTGTGGATTCAACAGCAGCCTAGAGAGGTGCAGACCCTAGAGGGGTTGATCACATGGTTGAAGACTCTTTTCGCCATATATCTGAGCATAGCTTTACAATTTTGCCAATATTTTATTAAACTTTTTGTATAGATGAATATAGTAGCAACCTTTTGTTCCCTTTTGTCCCAGATTGTCCATGGGCTTCACTGACATGTCTAACCCAGTCAGTGATAAATGATAGAGTATCACTAGGCATGGTTGGCTCTCTGTCTTGTATGATGGCTAAAAAGCAGTAGAAATAAACAACATGAAAAATAAGCTGTGAACGAGTGCAAAATGGGAGTTAGGTAGAGAACTGGATTTAAGTTGGGTGCTGACCTTGATGGTCTGGAGGGATGAGAAAAATATAGTTTGAGATGGCAGGAACTCCACCTATTATAACTAGTGTTTGACCAATAGAACCCAGAACATAAGAGACTCTAAACTGATATTTGTGAAACACAAATGAATAAATGTTTTTGTTTACAATTTTGCCTAAGATGATGACCCCCCAATTAATAATTTATCTTTCTGTTATTAGTACCCATATTATTTATTTCTAAGGGGGTAAGTGGAAACTAGCTTATTTATAATAGTTTCTGATTCTGTTATTTTTAATAAGAATTAACAATATATACATAAAAATTAGTAAGTACATTAGTGTGTTCTTGCCCCATAGGAGGCATCAGTTAAATATTTATTGAATTGACTACACAATAGAAAAAATAATACTATTATCTTTAGATTACTTTTTTCCCAGTGACTTCTAGAAAGCTAGAAATAAGTGAAAATTTCTTTAACCACAAGAACAGATATTACCAAACCCTTTCCTGCTTTATTTTGGAGGTTCTCATTCAGGCTTGGTGAATTTCTTAATGTACAGGCTTTACAAGCTTTGTTACCTAGTTTTCCTGTTTTATCGTTCAGTCATTCGTGAATCTGGCCAAAGAGGACACATGGAATTAACTTGAGAGTGGGGAGGTGCAGGACAAGGGAATTTTATAAAGTGTTCGAGGAAGCAAGATTTAAAAAGTATATCCAATTGAAGTGGAAAATTCCTGGAGGTCAACAGGCAGTTTCTGGTTGGCAAAGCCTCCAGTTAGAGGTCAGCTTCTCGCTTCTGATTATTTAAGTTTAAATTTCATTCAGTCATTTACATTAAGTTTTGTATTTTGGTTTGTTTACATTGGAATCCGAGGCATTAGAGCCATCTCAGCCAGGTGGCCTCACAATTAACGGTTTTTAACACCTCTCCAAAATTAATTTGAAAAAATTCAAATAATTCTTAAAGAAGTACACTTTTTAGGTGAAATTACTTGGAAAATTCACATACAGTGACTCACTCTCTGAAGATGCCAGTTTTGCCTTTCATACAAGAGAGCCTGTATTAAAGAACTAAATAAATGACAACGTGGCATACTTTTCAACCTCTGCAATTTATTATCATAGTTCTTATTTTTCCTGAGAATAATGAAAATGGAAGTTTGACCATCAGGTATTACATTCTTGTTGCGCTGGTGAAGCAAGCTTTGTTATTTAAAAAAAAAATTTTTTTAAACAAAAAGACCTATAGTTCATGTAAATTGGGACTGTATATCTAAGAATGAGTCTCTGCCAAGTTCCTATTTCTTTATGATTGCTGTGTGTAGTAGGCCGAATTTCTAAAGCAGCCCACAAAAGACATCTTGCTCTGAATCTTCAGAACCCAGGTAGGATGAGCTGTCATTCTCACGATGTACGTTTTGGTCAGTGGCAACACTGACCTTAGGGATGTGGTCTGGGTGGCCTCATCGAAATAGAGAGAGGCCTCTAGTGTCAGAAGAGAAAGTCAGATGTTCAAAGAGACGCGAGGAGGATTCCATACACTGTTGCTGATCAAATGGTGGAAAAGGTCACTTGGGAAGAAGCATGAGGTGCCTTCAGGGAACCGGAAAAGACCCCAACCCCAAGTAATCAGGAATTTCAGTCTTACAGTGTTATTGCACTGAATTCTGCCAATAGCCTGAATGGTGTAAGAAAGTGATCTTTCCACAAGGCTTCAGATACCTGCTCAACCGAGCAGACTCTGGATTTCAGGCTTGTTATGTCCTGGTCAGAGAATGTAGTCATTAAGCATCAGACTAACAACTTGTAGAACTGAGAAGGTATAAATGTAACTATTTCAAGCTGCTATCTTGTTGTTTGTCATGGAGCAATTAAAGTCTAACATTATTTTTCAGTTAATGAAATGAAATCCAGAAACTTTTCACCCACAGTACTCATATTTTTGGTAACTATGTGTAAGCATTAAACAGAAAGCATTTGAGTGAATTCTGAATTTATAAGAGGAATAGTATTATTATCATCTTACAAAAGCAAATTAGAAAAATTCTCTATCATTAAAAACTTTCTTCTAAGTCTGCATCTGCCATACATTATGGGAGCTAGCATTTTATTTTAAGGGGGGATACAAAAATAAAAACTTTGTGATTGGGAGGGAAACATGTATACTGTAACGAGTAGAAAGGAGCATATTAGAATTTTCAAGAGGAGAAACTACAATTTAATGTGAATGATTTGTTTGGTTCCAAGACCAATTATAATAGATTCTTGTGCATGAATAGCTGAGTGGCAAACTTCCTGCAAGCTTCCAGTAACTGACGCTGAGTCCTCAAGCTGCTCTCTTGAAATTAAATAGACATTGCCTAATGACCTTTTGGTGATCTCTGGAGACAGATCATAAGCAAATAGATCTCTTCCAAAATGCCACATGATGTGAACTATTTCCTAACTTAATTAAAGGGAATTTTTCACAGTAAAGACACAAGAAGGAAAAGCCAGTTTGCTACTGCAATACATAAAAGAGGAATTCCAAATGTTACAAATTTCACCTACTCTGTATTATAGTTTCAAATCGATTATTTTAATGAAAGTAATTTTTCACACATCCTCCCATTTCAAGAAGAGACTTTGGTTGAGGTCTTGGAAGAGATCTGGTTGTAGAGGAGCCAGCTGAAGCCCAGGATTCAGATGCATCCTTTGCTCACTAACAGGTCTCGTTGATCTCGAGAGCTGTCAGTAAGTCAGTACTAAAGATCGGTTTAAATTCAAATACCAAGTTCATTTTTATTCTTATCTTTTTTATTATAGTTACTATTTATTAAGCTGATATATTTAGGAAATGTTTAGGCAACTAGTAATTGTCACTGCTCAAAACACATACATTCAATGTCAACTATCTACTGTAGTGATAAACTTAAAAAACAATACTTTAAATCCAAAGATAATTTAAACACCCACTCACATTGCATGCATCAATTCTGATCTTCATCTAGGTATACTAAAAGGATCAAAAATGATAGAATAATATAGTGTCAATAATTTTTACAGAAAATGCATATATATATATTTCATACAGATGTTGATGTTAACTATCTGCATTGATACCTTATAATCACAGCTTTTTCTGTAGCTAAGAGTTATGTTATAGTGAAAAACTACCTTAATTGCTTTATTATAACATTTCACTTTAACTTTGTATTCTACAGTTTTCCACATGCTTCTGATATATGAAAATCTTGAGAAATTGACTTCAGTAATATGTGCCACATTTTTATGGTGGCTTCAAATAGTTCTCTGCCGTATTCCTGATATGAAACTCCTCACATACATAAACAATGAGTCTATGCTGCAGCTCTCCATTTCATTTTTTGGGCCTCCCTACAACGGGCAAACATTTAATATGATGTGGTTATTAATTTCCCTTTAATTTAATTTTAATGTAATTTTTCAGAAATGTTTGCTTCTCATAAAGTTGTCTCATTTTCCTTTGCAGAGACCAGTACAATTTCTATCTTGAAAGTGGCCCAGACAGAATTGGAAGAAAATACAATAAAGCCATTTATTATCAGTACACGGATGGAACCTATACTACACTTATAGATAAACCAGATTGGCTAGGGTTTTTAGGCCCTATTATCAAAGCTGAAACTGGAGATAAAGTTTATGTACATTTAAAAAACTTTGCCTCTAGACCTTATACTTTTCATGCCCATGGATTAACCTACTACAAGGAGCATGAGGGTAAGTTCAGCACAAGCTGCAGCTGGAATTTCCTCATTTTGGTACTCAAAAATGTCTGTATTATTCACTTCTCTGTTGCTGGTACATAATACCCGACATCCACAACTTGAAGGAGGAGAGGTTTATTTTGGCTCATGATTTCAGTGGGTTTGGTTCATGGTCCTCTGACTTCAAGGCTGAAACCACAGGGTGGAAGGGCGTCATGGAAGAAAACTGCTCAACTCATGGTGACCAGAAAACAGAGAGAAAAGGCAGAAGCCAGAGATAAGAATATATCCTTCAGATCACATCCCCAGTGACTATCCTCTTCCTACAAGGTTCTGCCTCTTTACAGCACATTCAATTATTAACTTATCAATAGATTCATCCAGTGATGGTGTTGTTCTCCCATGAGCCAATCAACTTCCAAAAACCTCAACTCTGGACACATAAGACTTTTGGAGGGTGCGTTAGATCTAACCCATAACACTGTCCTTTTGGAAAAGACTTGTACTTATATTATTTTAACTCTACACCATTTCATCAAAAAGTACTTTGGTTCATCATTATAATGCAGTGTTTCTTCTGGTTGTGCAAGTTTGTGTAAAGTGTGAGTGATTTCTGGGTGGGCTCAGATACCCAGAATGTCAGAACGTCAGTGAGAGATGCAATCCCTTTCAATTTGTAATTCTTTTCCAGCCAAATAATTAGAATAAAAGAAAATAGACAACATGGCTTATCCCACAAAAGGTGAAGCTGCAGATGGATGAGAAAGGACTCTCTTACCCCTGATTGGGGCTTGTCTTATCCTTGAAATTTCTGCAAATGTTTATATTGTAGCTGCTGTCACTTTCCTGCTGATTTTGGATAAATTCTGTCCCACTTTAGGTGGCATGAGTATTCTCATACATTAGCCAAATCTTACATGCGGCTGAGTGACTCCAGTGTCACAAATGAGGCACAATTTACCGAAGAGTCATTGGAATGTCAGACTTAGCAGTTATAAAGAATGATGCATGCTGGGCAAGGTGACATATTCCTGTAATCACAGAATCTAGGAGGCTGAGACAGGAGGACCATAAGTGCAAGGCTACCCTAGGCAATTTAGTGATTGAGTGAGATCTTGTTTCAAAGTACAAAATAAAAAATGGACTGACAAAGATGAGATTTGATGCCTGTGACCTCATTTGTAGTATAAGATGAAAGGTTTTTGATCAAAATATTTGGAACCAGAAGTATTTTGAGTTTCAAGTTTTTCTCAGATTTTTAGGCTGTTTGAATATAATGAGACATCCTGTCAATGGTATCCAAGTCTAAATAAAAATTCATTCATGTTTTATATATCTTTTGTACCCATAGACTGAAGATAATTTAAATACATACATATATAAATTTTGTTTCATGTCCCAAATTACATATATATATATATATATGTATATATATATGTATATATATACATATGTTATATATACATATATATACATATGTAATATGTATATACATATATATACATACATATATATATATATATATATATATATATATGTAATTTGGGACATGAAACAAAATTTCAGGTATGAAATTTTCATGTTGATCCTCAAATTTTGGATTTTGGAGCAGTTTGGATTTCAGATTTTTGGATTGGGGATGGTCAGTTCGTGCTTGATGATGACATCCAGAGAGGTGGTTTTTGTTATGGTTAAGAGCATTGACTTTGAATTAATAGGCTAATGTTGAATCTCAATGTATTAGTTACAGTTCTTTAGAAGAACAGAATCAATAGAAAGTATATGTATAATTATGCAAAGGGATTTATTAGATGAGCTTACAGGATCAGAGGCAAGAGAATCCACAATGGCCATCAATGTGCTGGAAAGCTAGGAGATCCAGCAGCTCGACCCAAGGAGATGGGATGACAAGAGGCACCAAGGGTGTGACAACAGCCAAGGCCAAAAGTCTGAAACTCACTGGAGAGTTGCTGATGCAAGTGTGTACTGGAAGGCAATACAGAAGAGATAGTAGTGGAGAAATGAAACCTGGAGACCGAAGACCAGAGGTGACGGCTATGAAAGATGCATTTGCTCAAGACTGGGCCTCTTCAAAACAGGCACACTTCCTCCTTCCTTCCCTGTTTATTCCATCCAGGCTGCAAATCTGTTAATTGGAGTGGCTCCTCCCTTTCTGTTCACTTGTCTACATATCAATTATCCGCCCACACACCTAACACAGTGCTTTATTAATCTGCTAGGCATTTGTTACTCCAGGCGAACTGACATTGCACAAGTAATGGTTACACCCAGCTTCCCCTTTTAATGGAAAGGTGACATTTACCAAGATACTTAAATCATGGCTTAGGTTTTGGGGGGTATAAAGAAGGAGCAATGAAAGTATATAATAATAGCTTAGTAAACATCAGCTATTATCATAAAAATCAAGGTCATGCTACAGTTCATTGAAATTATAAGGGTCAACTTTGAAAACTAATAGAAAACTAGATTTGATTATTAGTTTTTTCTTTTTAAAAGAGGAATTATTTTAGAAGTTAAATGTTTACCATAACTTTTCTGTTTGTTTTTCTAAACAAAACAATTACATTAATAGCATAAATGGCTAATTGTCATCTTTTTCTTTTTTATAACTTCATCATACATTAGAAAATTGGCATTCATTTCAAATTATAATAATGATATTATCCTGTTCCGTCTCTTCCTCCTCCTGCTTTGAACTGGGGATTGAGCCTAGGACTTTACAATGAGCTAGATCCCCAGCACATTTTTATGTTTTAGTTTTGAGCTAAGGTCTCACTACGTTGCCAGAGTGGTCTCCAACGTGCGATCCTTCTGCCTCAGTCTCCCAAATGCTGTGATTATAAATCATGCACCACCACACTGGGCATTTGTGTTTTTCTTAAAACAAAGCAATGGAAAAAAGTGCTCTAATTTTTTTAGAGATATATACTCAAGTATTTATGGATATAATATTATTTTTTGAATTTTCTTTAAAATAATTCAGCAGTGCTGGAGATTATCATGAATGAGTGGGGTTATAGAGGAACCAAGATTGGCTGTGAGTTTATCATCATAGGTTTGAATGGTACATGGAAGTTTCAACAAATTTGAAGATATATGGAGGTCCACTGCAACTCCTGCATTTGAAAATGTCCAAAATTCAGAGAAAAAATTTCTGAATTTCCATTGCTACTCCACAGGCAAAATCTGATATTATATAAGAAGCTCCAAATTATAAGAAAGGAAAGTCATTTTGCTTGGCCTTTTATACCATCATGGCCCAACGCACAAGCTGCCCTTTATATTGAAAACCAATATTCACTGTCTACCCAACAAATCTATTATTGCTCCCTCAAGACTCAATCTGTGTGAAGCATCTACATCCCTAATGCTTGGTCTCTAATTCCTCTGTGTTCCAATAGGACATCACTGAATCCATAGGGGCACCTATTAAATACCAAAAGTTCACTGAAAGAATTGATGGAGTACCTATTTCCTGTGTTAAGTTTTAAGGAACTCACTTTGTAACTCCACTGCATTCTCTTTTTTAGGGGCCATCTACCCTGATAATACCACGGATTTTCATAAGGCAGATGACAAAGTGCTTCCAGGACAGCTGTATACATACATAATGAGTGCCGATTATCAACAGAGTCCTGGTGAGGGAGACAGCAACTGTGTGACTCGGATTTACCATTCCCACATTGATGCCCCAAAAGATATCGCTTCAGGACTCATTGGACCTTTAATAATCTGTAAAAAAGGTACATTTTCTTACTATTGCTCAAATGACCCAATATCCATCCCTACAGGACAGGGTGGTTTGTTTTTAAGATACAACAAATCCTTTTGTGTTGACATTGAGTAAGGGGAGAGAAGATGAATCTAGGAAAAATGAAGACAAGGGCAATTATGCTTAGGAGGTGGAGGTGTCAGTGAAATGCACTTTGCATGGAATGCCACCAAGGAAGCTAGCTACAAGAAGGAAGGTCTTTTTGAAAAACAGGTCTTCAATATTTAACTTCCAACAGTGGTACTGATGAGACAAATGACTTTACTACATGTGAGGACTCCACAGGCAGCCCCTCAAGGTGACAAAGCTGCATTATCTGCATTAGACTGGGAAATATGTTATCATAGAATTTATTGCTACCATCATGAAAAAGGCAACATAGCTCAAGAGCCTGAAATATAATTCTTACTTGAATCATAATTAGTTATCTGAAAAGCTATGTTGAGTCTAAGCTTCTAGCTATACAGGCTAGAAAATATGGGTATAGCTTTGAAAGCCAGTCTTCACATTTACTGAGAAGCACTACTAGTTATAAGGTTCAGGAATATGCTGATATATAAGTGTCTTCCAAGTACAGAATACTGAGCATGAAATTCCCTAAGTTTTTTCATGTCTATAAAACAGGGGGACTGGTCCAAATGTGTGGCTTCTTAGAAAAATAAATATTAAAATTTTTTAAATGTATAAATACCTCAAAACATAAGTCAAAGCACACACTAAAAACCTAGATCTTCTAAACTAGACATTTTTCACTTCAGGTTCTCTAGATTCGGAAAAAGAAAAAAATATTGATCAAGAATTTGTGGTAATGTTTTCTGTGGTGGATGAAAATCTCAGCTGGTACATAGAAGACAACATTGACAACTACTGCTCTGACCCAGAGAAAGTTGACAAGGAAAATGAAGACTTCCAAGAGAGTAACAGGATGTACTGTAAGACATGCTGACTCCAATTTTTAAATTAATTAATTAATTAATTAATTCTGCCGTGTTCATTCCCCTACAAACTAAGCCCAATAACAAAGTATATTGGGCGTGTAATTTGGTGTCCACCTGAACAAGTCAAAATTCAAATACTAAACTGGTAAAGCTACACAACAAACCTGTTAAGGCTAAAATATCATCACCTATAATATAATACATACATAGATTACATGTATGTTTTTATCCTCCAAACTAATTTTAACAATCATGTGAAGCAACCAATTAAGATTATTAAACTAAATGCTTAAAATTATATTGTGAAATATCTAACCATATTTAAGAAAATATAGTATTTTAGAGCCACTAGTTTTAAAAAGTATTCCTTTTAGTACTACATTACCTTCACCAGGCCCCCAACTCAACATCATTCTTTTTATAATTTAGTTCATTTTATGGATTCTATAAATATCTGCTTTGTAGACTAGTTTTTTTTTTAAATTCTGAGACATAAAATAATGAACTCAGTGAATTTATCTCTCAGAATTTGCAAGAGCAGTAAAACACATCAATGAAAAGTAAGCTAATAAGTATATTTTATGCTTGTGTTTAAATTCTTCAAAATAATCTTTAATGCTGGGCATGATGATGCACACCTGTAATCCCAGCTATTCAGACTGAGGCAGGAAGATCACAAGTCCAAAGCCAACCTGGGCAACAAAATTAGACTCTGTCTCGAAATTTTAAAATGGGCTAGGGATGTAGCTCAGTCATAGAGCACTTGCTTAGAATATACAAGACCTGGGTACAATCTCCAGTCCTGAAAAATAAATATAAATAAATAAATGGTATTTACTCAGAAACTAGAAAACAAAAAATAACTGAACTACCAAAGTAGAAAAAATAATTAACAAATGACACATTTTTCATTTCCAAGTATTGATTATATCTGACTGAAGAATCTACCTTCCATGTCACTTTTGTTACATGCTAACAGAAATAGACACTAGGAAAAGATCTCATAGTCCCATAATGTATGTATCATAAGAAAAGACTGAAAGATTGAAATGTCAATCTAGTCTCAGTAGGCTTGTTTTGGCACCAACATCACTTCTGTATATTAGCAGTCCTTCCCCAGAATGATTCCCACTCAGGAAACTTCTTGACCCACCTAGTCTGAACAATGACTTAATTTCTCCCAAGGGTCACAGGTCATACTGCTTCTTGACTTTTAGATTTTCATGCCTCTGATCCTTGGTGCTTGCCACCCTTCCTTTACATTTATTTCTTTTTGTCTCTTTAATATCTCTTCCAACTTTGTCTTCCAATCTTACAAAAGTCTTTTTATTACAAGAGAAATTCATATTAGAAAATTGATACAGAGTTCTAGCAAGATGAATACCAATCAACCAATGACTAAATAACCTTCAATATTTTCTCTATATGTATGCGTGTCTTGTGTCTATGTATGTACATATGTACATGTCTGCATTTATAAACACATATCTCTGCCACCAACATTCATCGTTTATAGCTAGGAGGGCAGATAGGTTTCATCTCCAGTGTGGCACTCATCTGCTAACATGGTACTGATAAGAATCCTCAACCTGACATGAGTATGGAAGAGAGTAATAACTGAGTGTGCCAGGTATTTTCAATCTCAAATTGATTCTACTGATTCTACTTCTGTGGAGGTAACTATCAGTCCCCTGGGCACCAGTGTCTATCGGTCACACACTCTGCCTTTGACTTACAGCTGTGAATGGATATGCCTTTGGAAGTCTTCCAGGGCTCTCCATGTGTGCAGAAGACAGAGTGAAATGGTATCTTTTTGGCATGGGGAATGAAGTTGATGTGCATGCAGCCTTCTTTCATGGACAAACATTGATTAACAAGAACTACCGTATTGATACAATCAATCTGTTTCCTGCCACTCTTTCTGATGCTTTTATGGTGGCCCAGAACCCTGGAATATGGATGCTTAGCTGTCAGAATCTAAACCATCTGAAAGGTAGGACATCTTTACCTGAACTTAGATGCTGGCTGAAAAAAGAATTGTATCGTGGTAATTGTATTAGTGGGGTGATTATTTGGATTCAGAATCTCAACGCAAAATATCTTTGGAATAATCTGAATTTTGAATTTGGACCTCAGATTTAGTCCCATAATGTATGTATCATAAGAAAAGACTGAAAGATTGAAATGTCAATAAAGTAATGAGATCTAAACAAGTATTCATTTCTAGAAGAATAATTGATCCTGCTCTGAAAGTATAGCTTTGTACACGGATAGTTTCTTAGCTTTGTGAATTATACAATATTATAAAAATCGGATTTGAGGATTGTGTGGAGAGTAGCCTGTTTTTCACTTTTTGAATCAAGTATAACCCACTTTGCTCTTTGTTAATATCTGACTACTCCATGCCTTAACATGATAAATTCTCTCTCTGACTCCTTAATACAAGATTATAAAAACATTTCTTTGTTCTTGAAAAATATTTGTGATACTGATCTCCTGAGGAAATTAGTTTAACCAAGGACTTTGGATGCATTACTTTGATCTGCAGATGTGACTGCACTTAGCAAATATGACCTCGGTCACAGAAGCCCAGTACAATAGGTCCACAACTACATTATAAAAGAGAACAATAATCACAATCATGCTCCTCCACCTCACATCACACTTTAAAATGTGTCAAAGCACCTCTTCATTTATCTACAAATTTGCCTTTTTTCTTACATCAGAAGAGTTCCTGATTGAAACCTCACAGAAATTGGTACCACATTTTGAAAATACATATATTGAATGTCTCTTGTCTGTACTGTATAGACATAGAAAGATATACATAGTTTTAAAAACTTGAATTGTCTATTGGTAATTTATTTTCAGCTATTTATCCTATTCTATTGTATTGTCCTTATATCTTCATTTTTCATCCATCATCTCATCAACAGTGTTTCTAAGCAACAGAGAAGAGACATACCAGTTCTGTTAACCAGTGACGCTTCTGTGCTTTTGCAGCTGGTCTTCAGGCCTTTTTCCAGGTTCAAGACTGTGAGAAGTCCTCGTCAAAGAATGATATCCTTGAGGGAAATGTTAGACACTACTACATTGCTGCTGAGGAGATCATCTGGAACTATGCACCCTCTGGAACAGACATTTTCACCAATAAAAGCTTAGCAGCTCCTGAAAGGTAATTCACCCCAAAAGACTATTATTTCAAAATAGAGCCTTCTCCAGAAAAACATAAAATGCTGAATCAGCGATTGAAATTTCAATTGGTTTCTGTTATTGAATCACGGCACTGTTGAATACTGTTTAAGGTGCTTCATATATTAGTCTGAGCTTGAGCACTGTAACTTCTGAGTCTATGAAAAAATATGCATTTAAATGTTATCAAATGCTCAACAAAGTCTCAAGAAAACATGGAATAAAATTAGAAACCAATTTATTTGTTTTCATTTCTGAAAACATAGCCTTATACAGTACAGCAGCATTAATACATTCACAAAACATATAAGCAACATCGCCTCCATTTCTAGAACTTTTTGATTATCCCAAATAGAAACTCTATTCATTCACCCCACATTTTGCCCTTCTTGTACCCCTTAATAAGCTCTATTCTACTTTTTGACTTACAAATTTGCCTACTTTAAATAATTAATACAAGTAGAATAATGCAGTATTTGCCCTTTTGTGAATGGTTTATTTCACATAGCATGTTTTTAAGTTCATCCTGTAAGAAATGATCTCACTTGTCCAGCCAAAAAAAGAAAAGAAATTGGACTCCAGAGGTAGCAAATTGTGAGGTTTTTAATCCAAACTCATGCACGAGTGGCACTTACACAGACACAGCCACCCTCCAGTTGAGAAGCTGTGTGATTGTATTCCTAACTCACAGGAGCTCCTTCCCCAATCCCCGATGGCCCGGGGTGCAGGGTTCACAATCTATCCTGGGCGATCTTTTTCATCTCACACTTGTTTTTTTCCTCGTCCCTTTTCTTCTTATTCCTTTCTCCCTCTGTTTTTCCATAGTCACTTTTAGTCTGTTGGCTTCTCAGGATTTGAGAAGGCTTTTATCCCTGGAGTGAGTTTTTGTACAGCCTCCACCCACTGGTTAACAGCGCTAAGTCTAAGAAATAAGGGGTTATCAGAGTGGTTAATGAAATGTGGACCAATTATAAATATTTTACCTCTGACAAGCCATGCTGGGGCACATATCTGACTTCCATTCCTCTCTGGAGCTAGACAATATTTCACCTATGTATATACTACCTTTTGTGTATATATTAATGGACATTTGCTTTGCTTCTGTCTTTTTGCTCTTGTGAAGAATACTGCTGTGAACACCGATGTCTAAATATTTGTTCTATTCTCTGCTTTTCATTTTAGCCTCACGTTACACTAATATCCAGTGTACTCCTAAAGCTGGATCTCCAACCTAGAAGGGTTTTTTAAATGTCCAATTTGTATTTCAAATTTCTTGGGGATAACTCCACTTGGATGAGGTGTGTCCACTAAGTCTGAATCCACTATTCCCATATAAAAATGAGTTTCTTCCTCTCTCAGTGAACGGAATAACCTATCTATTCATGTGTCCATCTAAATATCCAAGTCCAAAGCCTGAGCACCGTTCTTGATTCCCTTTTCCTTCCTCATCAAGTACTGCCTCATTATATCCTGGTATCTCTGAAAACGTGTACTTCTATCCTGTTTGTCAGTAGCTCTGAAGCCACTATCATCTTTCACTGAAATTATAAAAGCGGGCTTCTGCAGGCTTTCTCCTGCAGATTTACATTTTCCAAAATATGCTCCAAGGTGTCATCCTAAACCACTAATCCAGGATGCTTAAAATTTTTATTTACTGTCCTGGAATGGAGCATCAAAAGTATCTAAGTCCTGCTGCCCGCCCACTTCTCTCCAATTCTCATGCACTCCTCTGCCAGGTGGGCATGACAAGCTTCTGCCATGTTTTCCACAGCCCTGTTCACTCTCTCCTCTGAGACTCTTCATAGGCTGCTTCCTCTTTGTAATCACCCACCGCATCCTTTCTGTCATCTTGCAAACTCTAGTTTTCCCTTCGATAGTTTTTTAAAATTAGTCCTTCTAGAAAGCATCTATAGTTCAGGCCTGTCCCATTACTTCTCCCTGGAGAAGTCTCCATCACATCCTGTACTCATTGCACTGATTGGTTCATAGTCTGTCTCCTCTGGCAGAGGTAAGGTCCATGTTTGTTTGTTTTGAGACAGGGTCTCACTATGCAGCTCAGGCTGGCCTTGAGCTCACTTTGTAGCCCAGGCTGGTCTCAAACTTTGCAATGATCCTCCTGCCTCAGCCCTCTGAGTGCTAGGATTACTGTGTGTGCCACCACACCTGGCACAGATAGCTTTAAGCCCCGGGTGATAACTCGTCTCTAAACACTGGCCAGAATTTTGCTCAACTAGTATCCTAAGTGAATACCTGCTTTGTTTTCTACTCCAACTCACTAGGCTCAATCCCTTTTTCTTTTGACAGTGACTCAGCAGTATTTTTTGAACAAGGTCCTACAAGAATTGGTGGTACTTATAAAAAGTTGGTTTATCGTGAATACACAGATGACTCCTTCACAAAACAAAAGGAAAGAGGCCCTGATGAGGAACATCTTGGTATTCTGGGTGAGTCTGTACCACACAAACATAACTGTAGTTTTTACTCTCCCTCAGGGACACCCCAACCTCAGGGAGAACAGAACTTTTAGGACCCATGGCATAATTTCTGTGAAGAAATTAGGCATGTGGAAGACCAAATATCAATAAAAAGCAGAGGTTAACTACTTTTCTAAATGTGAATTACCAACAGCAAACCTTCACTGAAATCCATGCTGACTTATATTTTTTACTTCAAAGAGATTAGAGAGTGTATGTGTATATGTGTGTATATGGTGTGTGTGTGTGTGTGTAAGAGACAGAGAGACTGAGAGACTTAGCTTAAATTGGTAACTAAGATGTTACAGCCTACTCTTAGCTAAAAACACATTACAAATAAAATGGTGGAGTGTGCATGAGATCAGCCGGACTTGTCCTGGTGCCCTCCAAGGTTGCCCTCAGGAGAACCCAGACACTGCTCTCACTGGACTCTCAGGCAGGAGAGCCGGGGGTGATATCCAGACTGTCTTGTCTTTAGTTGTATGACTTTGAAAATTACTCAACTTTCTAGGCCTGATCTCCTCTGTAAACTGGGAACAATAGTTCCTACCTCATGAAATTATAATAAGGATTAAGTGAGTTATTATACATAAACACTCAGAAGTACAGACAGGAAACTCTTGATACATGTCATTTTGCATATTACATAAAATATTTGTGTCTATATAACTATATTTACTCTGTAATTGGAAAAATATTAATTTTAGTGTTGAAAAATCCAAAACACTGTCACCCTTCGCGTCCAAAACAATGCAGGCTCCCTGCTTTGAGTTGCCTTGTTTACAGCACACTCTGACTCCTGACTCCTGGGAAAATGGTGTAGTTCTGACCAACAGAGGGCACGGTGAGGAGAGTGCAGGCCCTCCAGGTGGTTTTTCTAAAGTGTATAAAGTTAATTAATTGACTTTGACAAAAACGGTAACCAATTTAATTAACCTGAAGTTGGAGCAAAACTACTTTGTCCAACCTTGTCAAGTCATCTTAATAATGGATTTTTTAAAAATTGAGTTTCCCAGTTTGCGTAAATAAGCACTTTCTTTCCAATGGTGCTTGTCAGAGGACACAAAGAAACCAATGCACCAATGACAGATCTTACTTCTCTGTTTTTCTCTAGGTCCTGTCATATGGGCAGAAGTGGGAGACACTATCAAAGTCACCTTTCATAACAAAGTACCATATCTCCTCAGTATTGAACCCATTGGGGTGAGATTCAGCAAGGCCAATGAAGGCGTTTACTATACCCCAAGTTTCCGCCCCTCAAAAGGAAGTGAGTACAGAACTCTACAACCAATCAACACTGGTCAGGAACCCACCACACTGGCCACTTGCAACGTCCAGCAGGAATTCCTAAGGAAACTGCTGATACATCATTTTCATGCAGTATGCCAAAAAAAGCAAAGAAACCTTTTCTACCATTTCTAAATGGTTAATGAATTTTATCCTGCCTCCCTCAAATGATTATTGACAATGCTAGTCAGAACTTGCTTGGACTGTATCAACTGTATTTCTGGAGTTACCATTTGCATAACTTTACTTTTTAAAGTCTTATAAGAAGATTAGATATTTATTTTAGGATATTTGAAAAATATTGCAACTAAAGAAAAGAGTAACCAAAATTATTAGACAACCATTATATTTTGTCTGTGCATATATCATGCATATTTTAAGTACGGTTGAGATTACAGCATATAAATATACTTATCACTACAGCTTCATAGTAGAGTTTGTTCTCTTAGCATTATAGGCATTTATGATGCATTCTCAGGAGAGATGTGAGTACAGAGAGGGACACCAATCCAAGACAGGGTCTAGAGAAGGCTTCCTGGGGAAATTACACCAATCTGATACAGGAGCACAAGTAGGATTCCATTCGAACTCATAACAAGAAATTCAGAAGTGGTTTCTCCTCAGCTGAACATACTACTTCGTTGTTCAAATGCCTGCACCGGAAGGTACATTTGCTCTCCTCTGTGGCCTTTCTCACAGGTGTGCGTTCTTCATCCTCCTATGTGACACCCCAGGGAAAGTTTACCTACGAATGGACTGTCCCTGAAGCAGTGGGACCCACTTACGCTGACCCCGTGTGTCTTCCTGGGATGTACTATTCTGCTGTGGATCCCACCAAAAATATATTCACTGGGCTTATTGGGCCAATGAAAATATGCAAGAAAGGGAGTTTGCATGAAAATGGAAGACAGGTAAATCCGATCAGGGAAAAGGGAAAATGATTTGTTAATCTCTTTGAATTTTCATACAGAAAACTCGGGGTTTTGAGGCAGTTAAGGTGTTACAGACCATTTTTGCTTTCAATTTTTCTCAGCTTCATGAGGTCTGTGTTGTGCAAAGGTTTTCATGGCTAACCTGATTGTTCCTAGATGGGCTGGAGGTGAAATTATCGATGGGATCTATGATTCTTTTAATTAAAAAAATTAGATTATGGCTTTTGACCTAGAAACAGTATTATAACTTCATTGCTGTTTGTATCTCTAAAATATTTTATGATGTGCCTATAAAAGATAAGCATTCCTTTAAAATGCCCACATTTCAATTGTCACATCTTAATCGCATACATACTCCTTAATAATGTCAAGTATCCAATCAATGTTCATATTTCCCTGATTGTCTTGTAATTGCTTTGTGTTATTTTAATCAGTATCCAAATAATTACACACATTATATTTGACGTGTTTGTGAAGATTAATTTCTTGCAATTTTTCTATTTGTCCTGGCTTCCATGTCTAGATTCTACTTATTTCACTCTTGTGATGTTTTTTAATCTATTTCCATATTGCCCTTTCTATTTCCCATAGGTCACTGTCTAGAATCAAAGATTTGATCAGATTCAGATTAGATTCTTTTTTGGGAAAAACTACTTCAGATGTGATCCTGTAATTCTATTGCAGAATGCATAGCTGTTTTTCAGTTGGAGATGTTATCTGTCACTGTCGACTGTTTCCTAGATTAAACTAATTAAAGTTATATAATAGTAGTATTCTGATTCCATCATTCTTTGTTTGCTAGCCAGAATTCTTCTATAAACAGAAACTCCCTTTAATGAATTATGTGGTTACCCTGCATAATGAGCTATGTAATCACCCTGACATACGTTATACAGGAAGGAAATGACAAGTATTTTATCTCTTCCCTGTTTTTTCAAGATTCAGACTAATAGTGCTCCTTTAGCACACTTCAGAGAGTCTTTTTTTTTTTTTTTTGTCTTTTTCCTTTTTATCGGTACGAGGGATTGAACTCACGACTGCCTGCTTGCAAGGCAGGCGCTTATGCCGCTGAGCTAAATCCCCAGCCCCACTTCAGAGATTCTTAATACTTTCTTTTCTTTTTACCCATCATTTTATATTTTCAGATTTGAGGGTGTTCACCATTCTGATATGAGATAAATAGTGGCTCTTTATTTCCAGCTTATTATGAATGTTTAAGGAATATTTCATTTGAACTGCTCAAAAAACATCCTGTACTAGGCACAAAATTCATCAGTAAGACAAACCATTTTCCTATTCTAGAAGAACTTATAGCCTAGTATTTGTGGAGGGACGTGGGGAAAACAGGGGGTAGGTGATAAATACACACACAAAATAAAAATAACTTCAGAAAGTGACAAGTGTTTTAAACATAGAATAATGGAAGAGTAAACAGAAATCCTGATAAGGCAGAAATAATATCTGAGGCAAGATCTAAATTTCCAGAAGGCAGCTTTGTAGACACCTCACAGTAAACAAAAGGGAACAGCCAGTGTCAGAATGTCACATCTTATAAAAATGCCACTTTTAGGTAGTATTTTTAACATGAACTCTTGTAGAATTTCTACCTCTAAAGTTCACAAAATCTACGAGGACATTTTTAGGCATAGGTCTCTATTATTAATTTTGTCCTGTTTTTAGTGAAGGTTTGAAATCTGAAAACTAGCTTTTTCTTTATGGTCGTGGACATTTGACTACTATCTCTTATGATTGTGTCCTCCCTTCTATCACTTATCTTTCTAAAGTTACACATACACACTTTTCATCTTTAAATTTTTTTATCTGATTTGTGGGGCTCTCTTTAGATCTCCATCATTAATTCAGTTCTCTGTAGGATCTAACCTTCAAAGTCTCTGCTTTAGTTGGATTTTTTTCACTTTGATAATCTTGCTTTTCCCCTGAAAAAGTGATCTTAGTGAAAAGACATAATACTTTCTAATGATTTTTCATTTGTTCTTATTCCTTAGACTGATTGGCTTTTTCTGAATGGCTTAATGATCTCATAGGCCAGACAACATTTGTGATTATTACTATATTATTATTATTATTATTTTAACCAGGGGTTTGGGGGGTAGTGTGAGAATTTTGTCCAGCAGACTGGAGAGTGTGTGAATCTATTCTAGTTTATTGGCAAGTTATTTCTGTGCTTAAAATAATCAGTCACTCAAACTGCTGCTCCCAAACTGCTGTGCCTTACAGGGATTTTTAGTTTCCTGAATGTGGATGGCATCTTTCCTATTTCCAGGACATACACAAATTTCCCCCATTCTAATGATTTTTAGTGGTTTCAATTGGTATGTACAGTGGGGCAGGAAAAGAGAAGATACAAAGTTTTCAGATGCAGAGAAAGACTCAGCTGTTATGCTGAATCGAAATCCATTCAGCAGATACTAACGTGAGCTTGAATGGACAACTGGAATATTTCATAAGCTTGTTTTACAAAGAGGAGAAGAAAATTCTGTTCACATTCCTTCTTCTGCAGGTCTGTGTGCAACATGTGTGTTTTCCGCTTTACTCACCCTGTCTTCACCTCATTGCTGTCTTCATTTGCAGAAAGATGTGGACAAGGAGTTCTATTTGTTTCCTACAGTATTTGATGAGAATGAGAGTTTACTCCTGGATGATAATATTAGAATGTTTACAACCGCACCCGATCAAGTGGATAAGGAGGATCCAGACTTTCAGGAATCTAACAAGATGCACTGTAAGTACTTCATCTTTCTCAATAAATACAATAACTAATCCGTCAAGTTATTTCAGTACTGCATAGGTAATACTTCTAATTAAACCAAAATGCAAATAGCTTTGTTTACCAGTTAATTTTTAATGTATGACTAAATACAGCAATGCCGAGAGTGATGTCATTGACTATTTAATGTGTCAGTCAATTATCCATCATTTCTCTTAACCCAAAGTAATAAGACATACAAGACATACCAATTAGATGAATGATCCTGGGGCGCAGCCTCAGCATCTGTAGGGACTTGTTAGAAATGCAGATTCTCGGGCCCAGCTCTGACCTAGTAAATCAGAAACTTGGATAATAGGTCCCAGAAATTTAACAAAACCTCTAGGTGATTCTGACATATGCCCAAGTTTGAGAACTACTGGGATCACACTTCCTTCATTGATGACTAAGTAATGACAAGTTCATTATATTATTCAATGTATAAAAGATCTCTGCTCTTATGATTCTCATCCATGACTGCGTATCAAAAACACTTGGGAGCGTTTAAAAACTACCAGTGCCCAAGACAAGCCCAGAGACTTTCATTTAACTGAAGCCTAGAGTCATATTTATTTTTTTCTTAGTGTATTTCTAAAATTACTCCCAGTTAAAAGACAAAAAAAAAATTCAAACTTGAGCTCAAACTGATGCTGTTTTGTACCAGGGTTTTTAACTTTTTTTTTTAAAGCTGGCCCAATTCTAGACACACCACTCACAATCGTTAAAATACTTTCAGTTCTTCGTTTTTCGGTTTCAGAAGTATCAAGAACATTACCTGTTGGAAAGAATGAGAGAAATTTCCTGAATATACTTTCCCTGTTTTTCAAGATGACGCAGAATTTTTCATCTAGAATACACAATCCCAGCCTATGATGTCCAGGAAAGCTGTACTTATGGATTTAGGTGTTCACAAATACGACCACTGTCAGTGCTAAGCAGCCAGAATCTTGTTCTAGCTGGAGAACAGTGAAGTCTCCAGGATGCTGGGACACTAGTGCAGGACCTCAGGGACCACGCCGCCAGCTCTGGCCCCTGGAGCTGGGCAGGGGCTGCCTTGGGTGTGCTGGAGACAAAGAAACACAGCTGGCACATGAAAATGAGGCAGGCTTGGATGAATCTTTTAAAACATAAAATTGGTTTGGAAAGTCAGGGAGGTTGTCATGCATTGATACATTATAAAACTCACTTTCAAATGTTATTCCCAACTTTTACAGCCATGAATGGATTCATGTACGGAAACCAGCCTGGTCTCACAATGTGCCGAGGAGATACGGTTGTGTGGTATTTGTTCAGTGCTGGAAATGAGGCTGATTTACACGGGATCTACTTTTCAGGAAACACGTATCTGTTAAGAGGAGAAACAAGAGACACAGCAAATCTCTTCCCTCAAACAAGACTGAGTCTCCTCATGAACCCTGACACAGAAGGTATATTTCTTTAAAGTGAAGACAAGCCTCTGTTGAGTCTGTTTGTGTGATTTTTATGGAACTGGGACATGTTGGGGTATAAACTCCAAGCCTCCCAAAGTGCCCTTCCTCCCTTTGAAAGGGACAGTCTGGGGCACCATCGGCAAAGGTATACACCAAATAGGTCTAATCTTCTATTAATTGGAGGATGAAGGTCAGACAAGAGCAGAAAGAGCCGGATATAGTTGCCTCTGTTTGCACAGTTGAACCCTCAAGAGCATGCCTCTTTGCAACTGTGATTCTTTTAGACAGATGAGAAAGACTATTCAGGAAATGATTCCCACAGTGGTTCTAAGCCTTTCATCATATTTCTGTAGCCTAGAGGTACTGTTAGCTTGTGGACAGCTTGCAAAGGAATATTTTATTCTAGAGCTGCAGTCATGCAAATTCAGATTCACCTACAGGTGTGACTGTGAGTGAATAAACCAAACTAAAGCAAAGAGAAATGATTCCAATCAAAATACGAGAACATGCTAATTTGTCTCAGGTTTTGTTTGTTCATTATGTGTCACTAAAACTTAAGATCAACCATGGGTTGCCTTTTCATTCATTAAATGTAAACAGAAAACCGAACAAGAAATAAAATGTCTCATGGAGCTGAAATTCTAATACAAGAAGACAGACAAACAAGTATTTTAAAATACGCTGCAGTATGTGAAGTGGTTATAAATACATGGAGAAAAATAGGGCAGGGCAAGAGTTCAAGATTCTCTCAAGAGGTGAAATGAAAAAGAGATCCAAATAAAGGGAGAAAAGGAACTATGTGGACATTTGGGAAGTATTCCAGGGAGAGAAAACACCAAGGGCCAAGGTCCTGAGACAGCTGCACACTCGGCCTGTTACAAAAAACAGTGCAGAGGTCTATGTGGCTGGATGAGGTGAACAGTAGGTGAGGTGGTCAGAGGTCTGGGTAGCCAGGCCATCCGCCATCATGATGAGGACTTTGGTACTGAGTCTGGGTAAGGTGGGGAGCAAAAGAGTGGCTCTAAAATTTTTTTTTTATTTTGCCACTCCAGGGACTTTTGATGTTGAGTGCCTTACAACGGATCACTACAAGGGTGGCATGAAACAAAAATACACTGTGAACCGATGCAAGCGGCCTGAGGATTCCCCTCCCTGCCTGGGAGAAAGGACCTACTACATTGCAGCAGTCGAGGTGGAATGGGATTATTCACCACACCGGGAATGGGAGAAGGAGCTGCATCATTTACAGGAGCGAAAGTAAGTCTCCAGATTCTACTTTCCAGGTGGGCAGCTGAAATTTAGGTTCCCTTTCAGAGCAGATTATGCTAACTTTTAGAAAATGAAACAGTTGTCTTTTAAGCAACAACAAAACGCTTCCCAGGAGGCTCTCCTTATTAATTTTCACTTAATTTTCTCACAGGAAAAGTTCTTTTCTCTCTTTTGATTCTTTGAAGTCACACATCTTGCTTCCCTTCCTCCCTTCCTATTGGATTATTTCCTCATGTTCCTGGCCCTTCCCTGGTCACTGATTTTCAAACTGAACCAAAACTAAGGCCCAAATTCAGAGCTGACATACTATTTTCTTTCCCAACTAGTACTGGCTTATTTTTCCTCCAAAATTTTATTTTTAATCTGATAATCAGTAATTTCACACCACTAAAATCTTTCATATTGCAAATGTGTGACAGGAGAATAGCTGCTCTGTTCTTAAGAACTTGTAAGAAAATACGGTTGAAAGCCATTAACAAGTACTCTGTGGAAAAGTAAAAAATAAATTCAGTTTGAATACACGTAGGTAAAAGGTGGTCACTGAAGCCTCAGAAGCATCCATCTAGAGGAGCATCACCCTACACTTCTAGTTAGCTCTTTCCTATTTTGCCGATCACCTCACTCACATCATATGACCTCCTGATTGGGGGTGGAACTCAGTCACACAGTGGGATGGGCAGATCCGGGAAGCACAGGTCTGGTGACCTACACTTGGGCAGTGTGGCGGGTCGGTTTGATGATGGCAGCTGGATGCAGTCTGCAGGGTAGAGGGGTAAAAGCTTCCTTTGCTGATTGGGACATAATAGATAAAAGGCTACAGGAGCCATTAGGAATCAGTGAAAACTTCAGGGCCGGTGAACGAGTAGAAAACCTATTTCTGTGCCTATCTGTCAGAAATACTGCCGAAACCACAGAACAAGTCATTGATTGAATCTGTACTCATCCAATTTTAAAGGAAACCTAGAGATGCGCTGATTGACTCCCTCATCTAAGGGACAAAGAAAATGAGGCTCCAATGGGCAGTGACCAGCCAGGTCATTCTAGCAAGTAGCACTCAGCCAAGACTCAGGGGGCTTCACTCAGACACTTAAGTGCGGTTTTTCACTACCGCTGTCTAGTTTTAAAATCTTTATATTTTTTTTTTCTTACTGGAGTATAAAATGATTAAAAATAGCCATGGTTACTCTAAAAAACTGTATTTTTATTCGATTTAAAAGTTGAAATTTAACTTCCATTTTCATTAAAACAAATACTAACGTGAGGGCTGCTTTTTTTTTTTTTTTTTAAGTGTTTCAAATGCATTTTTGGACAAGGGCGAGTTTTACATAGGCTCAAAGTACAAGAAAGCTGTGTATCGGCAATATACCGACAACACGTTCTCGGTGCCGGTGGAGAGGAAGGCTGAAGAGGAGCACCTGGGAATTCTAGGTAGGTTAACGGCATCTTTTTTTCAGGTGTGGGCTGGCCACAGCTATGCTGCTTTGTGTGGCAGCGGTCAGTACCTCTCTGTGGGCTTCTTTATATTCAAATCGAATTTTTAAAGAGCAGTAAATAAATCAATATGAGACGTTTAAACCAGCAATTGTGATGCTCATCTGTAATCCCAGCACTCTGGAGGCTGAGACAAGAAGATTACAAATTTAAACCCAGCCTGTGCTGTTTAGCATTTAGCTGTTTCAAAATTTAAAAAAATAAAAGTAAAATGGCTGGAGATGTAGCTCAGCGCAGAGGCCCTGAGTTAAATCGCAAGTATCACAAAAAACAAACAAAATTATGTTTATTAAAGAAAATGGTTTAAAATATATTACTTATCTCTGTCAGTTATCAAATTATGTTTGGTATTTATCATAATTGATTCTTGGTAAAGTTCCAAGGAAACTACTTCCTAGTGAATTTCTTGACCAAATTCCCCAATATCTCATCCCACCAAAACAACAACAAAAAATAGACATTTACCTTCCTTTATTTTTTGTTAAATGGATATTTACTTTTAAAATTAAGATTTAAATGGTTAATGATGAGATTACATATAGAATTTATTTTATATATATTATTTATATGTATTGTACACAAGGCAAAGGGAAAACTGCTTTCAGTTTTTGCAGAGCCACTTTAAGAATACCCAACTTGTTCTGAGAATTTTCTTGAAAGTTCTCGAGTGCAGGAAGCCCCGTCCCCAACCCCTTGTTTCCAGCCATCAGAGTTCCTGGGGGCTTATCTTCAGTGCCTAAGTAAGACACCTCAGGGAAAGGGGCACTGTTGCTGGGCAACAGAAGCTAACATTCCCTAGAGAGCGGAACTGGGAGAGGAAGCCTTTTTCTTTTGAATTTGATACCAAGGAAGGTGTGGGATTTCAAATGCTGAGAAAGGTTAGGGAGTGCTGCAAAATGACTCCTGACCAGACCTGTACCTTGCAGACTTCCAGGCCCAAACCCTGAATAATAGCTATACCGCAGCCTCCGTATTTACAGGGAACCTTCTCCTGTGTTTTTATCCCAAATTCTCTGGAACTATCAGTCCAGCGCTACAATGGCACAAAGCCACAGGGCAGAAAACAGACTGCAGACTTCATGCTGAGAAAGTTACCCCATCTTTGCCTTTCTTACTAAGAAGTTTCAATCTGATGAATACATAAAGCACTTTCTTTTCACCATTCTCAGGTCCACAACTTCATGCAGATGTTGGAGACAAAGTTAAAATTGTCTTTAAAAACATGGCAACAAGGCCCTACTCCATACATGCCCATGGGGTGAAAACAGACGATCCTAAAGTTCCTGAAACACTACCAGGTACTCTTGGTGGGGGGAAGCGCCTTACACTTCGTAGTCTTTCCACGAATGACTAGTCTCACAGAAGTGTGTCTTCCAAGCAAGTGTGACTCGAGGAAGTGAAGAGGGAGGTGGCAGGTGAGGGAAGACAGGGAATGGTCTGCGTGTCTGTCTAGCACATTTCCATGTCACACAGTCCGGTGGTGAGACACTGCACACTCCGGCAACTTTGAAAGCTTGAGGCAGGCAGCCTATGAGCTTGAGCCCCGTCTAAGCAAAACAGTGACTTAATAAGATCTTGTTTCAAGTTTTTTAAAAAAGAAAGGGCTGAGAGTAATTGCTCAGGGCAAACGCCCTAGATTCACTGGGGGTGAGGGCAGACAGAGATGGTCTATAGGAGAGCTCTGAGATACAAAAATGGAAGGCACTGGGCAAGCACAAATACCCGAGGGTTCATCAGGGGAGCCTCCCCCATGCACAACTACCACACATCTCAGAGAGCATCGAATGCACTGCAGGGGGTTGTGCCTGTATCCCAGGGCCCCAGACGGGGTCCAGAGAGCCAGGGCTGCCGCTTAATACTTTGAAATCCTGTATCTAGTCCAGAGTCTGGCATGTTCTAGTGCTCAACAAGTTTTTATTGAACACAGCATGGAAACAGTGTGGGTTATGAGTCTCTTTAATTGGAACTGTGTTTTTCTATTAGGGGTAAAGTTGGCTTCTATAAAAGCATTTTTCAGTAACTCAGCAGTTCCCAAACATGTCAACTGAGAAGAAATAACTTTATTATAAATTTAGGGGAATAGGAATAAAAATCCCTACCCTTATGGTCACCATGGTCTTCTGAGGAGGTAAGTTAATCTCCTGAGGAAAAGAAATACATTCACAATGGTGAGATAAAAACAATTATATGGAAACGCAAGGCAGGTCTTAGGTAGGGCTATCAGGGCCTTCTTTGAGGAAGGTGACAATGCCTGCTCCTGTCTCTGGGAGGGGAGATCCTAAGCCCTCAGGATAAGAGCAGCATGATGTGTCTGAAAAACAGCAAGGAGGCCAGAAGAGAAGGCAGAGCGAACAAGGACAAGTGTTTTGGCAGATGGGAAGCAAGGACAACAGGGGCTGGGTAGGGCCACAAGGACCTGGGACTTGAGGTTTATTCTAATCACCCAGAGGAGGATTTGAGCTGAACGGTGATGCTCTGAGGAACACTTTATAAGGCAGGTTCTAGGTGATGTGTGGATAAGTGACTGTTGGGTTGAGGGGGCAAGCGCAGCACCAGTGAACGACTGCAATCATCTGAAATAAAAAATATATCCGATGGTGAACTACTGCAATCACCTGATTTTTAAAAATTTATCAAATTATCATGATTTGGAACAGCAGCTGAAGTGGTAAGAAGTCGTATTTCAATTTTATCTTAAAAGCCGGGCTAAAAATACCTACTGACAAACTGGCCAGTAGGGAGTGTTAGGGAACAGAGAAGCCAAGGATGAGTCCCAGGTTTGGGACACTGGCCACTGGCGGACAAGCAGGGTGGGAAGGACAGCAGAGAAGGAAATGTAAGTTCCAGCTTACAGTCATAAATAAAAGCAGAGATGGAGAGATAATATGTTCAGGCAGTAGATCAACTAAAATGTCAGACATTTTGCTTAAAGAGTAAAGACACGGGAACAGCTAAGAATGAGGACTGGAGAAAAATGGAGCCTATTACATCCCTTGAGCACATCTGTCAGGTCTTGCTGGATTCCCTAGCTAAGATCTGTCAAGCTCTGCTGAGTCGAAGTCTGACAGTGATATTTACAGATGTAATATGCAGAAACCTACATACAGGAGTGGACAGTGACTGTGGTAAGGATTGGTGAGTGACGTGGCAGAGTCAAGGCATACAAGACGCTCTGGGGTGACTGGGATGGAGATGAGACTGTAGCAGGGCCAGGAGCGCATGGGAAGGAGGTGGGGGCTTGGCAAGGTCAGCGGTTGGAACTACTGGCCACTTTCAAAGTGCCAGGGATCAGGATGTGATTACAAGCTACATGTCACAGAGCAGTGATGGAACTGTGTGTGGTATGACAGAGCAGGTGAACAAAATTGTGTAAGTCAGTGATGAGCTCACAGCTCACTGAGGATTTTGGTGAGCACTCAAAGTAGAAAAGAAGCCACGGCAAAGTTGAGAGAATCCCACAGGCGGGTTCCTACACACAGACACAGAGATGGCCACTACACAGGGAAGATGCCACCGGAGGATACCTTGCTAGCTGAAAAAAAGTATATTATGAAAACTTTTCTAGCTTAGAAAAGTTTGATTTACAGTTTCTTCAAATTATACTGGAATGGCCACCTCTTGGCTTTGTGGTATGACAGGTAGAGCGTAAACAATTAATTCATAGTTAACACACATGCATGCGCACACACACACACAGAGTTGATCTTTAACTTCCTGAAGTTTGAATACCACCTTTTTTTGAAACTACACTGACATTTCCAGTTACTAGGTTACTGGTTATCAGGGTCAAATAACAACTAAATATAACCAGATCTATTAACCCTTGATTAATTTAGGTGAAACTCGCACTTATATATGGCAAATCCCAGAAAGATCTGGTGCTGGACCACAGGATTTGGCCTGTATCCCGTGGGTTTACTATTCAACTGTGGATCAAGTGAAGGTAAACTTTAAATCATTTGTGTTTTGTGACAATTACCAAAATAGACACACAATTGAAGGAAGGTCAGGTTAGAGCTTTCCTGTGCTCCAACTGTGTTAAAATTCCAGGAAAGTATGCTACATTGCAATTTCTTTCACTTTTCAAGCTTGCTTATTTTTGAAGATAATTATAACTCTTTCATGGGTGCTGATTATAGATAACAGAGCACTTAAATATAAATGTAGTATTTTATTTCCCTTTTGATATAAAAATATGTTGAACTCAAAGAACTAAGGCACGTGGTTTTAGAGTTCATTACATGAGTTAATAAAAAAAGCTGATGCTAACAGCCAATGACAGACCTGAAGGTATTGTTTGATGAAGTATTTCAAAACCCAAAATAGTTCTCAATAACCACAAATCAGAAGGGACACTCAGGCTGTTCTGTAGAATTACATCTCTAGTCTCTCTTGAGTTCTCACCCTGTTCACACATATACTGGGCCCCTCTACCAGTAGTTGCCACAGACTTAGCAACTGTAAAATACATATGGGGATCTTCTTCTACCTCCTCCTGTACTTCCTGTTACAATAAACCGCATCAGAAGAACCAAATCTCATTGGTTTAAGCAGGAACTCTAAATTAACAAGCACCTACTTCCGCTTCACTTTCTCAAGCAATGATCCTCCCTGTATAGCTCAATCCATTCCTTCTCTCCACCACACAGTTCAGGTTCTTCAGTCTGCCTCAACTACTGCCATGGCCATAGCTTCCAGATTCAAGTCTCTTCCAAGTCTTTTCTACTTCACCAGAATGACGCATTAAAATGCAAATTTTCTATCATTTTTCTGTCCAATTTTTCAATGACTACCTCTGATGCATAACATGAAATCTGGAAAGCACTTCACAGACCTAAACTGTCATCAACGACCTGCATCTAAACCAAACTCCTCACAAATTTAAGAGTGAACTGTGTGATCTTCCTCTGTGTGTCCATCAGCATTCTCTGTAATTCCATTGCTTCACTGCAGGTAACACTTTTCTCTCTCGCATTTCTTTTTTGAGATAGGGTCTCACAGTGTGGTTCAGGCTGGCCTTGAACTCACAGTTCCTTGCTTATATTTTTTTCTGTTCTTCTATTTTCCGTAGAGGGCAGGGCCTTGTTTCATTCTTGATGGCCTTATAATGACTGGCACAACGCTTAGCACAGCCTCCTGAGTTCACGAGGGTATGGGATAAACAAAGCAATGCTCTTTATCTGGGTAAATTGCTGCTCATTAGCTAAGCCAATTTTTGGCCCCTGTGTGTGTTTCACTGACACATTCCTACCCAGCCTATTCACTACTGTTCCACCTTAACTACTTAAAGTGAGTTAAAGTCTCACTTTAACTACTTAAAGTGAGAAGCATCACATGGGGCCAAGTCTGCTGCTTACATCAGCCCCTCCAAAATTTCTGACACCAGGGCAGGTGAGGTCGCAGTTCTCAAATCTTGACCTACACTGCAAGGATGACTGATGTTGTTTGTTTTCAGGATCTCTACAGTGGATTGATTGGCCCACTGATTGTATGTCGGAAGCCTTACATGAAAGTATTCAATCCCAAAAAGAAATTGGAATTTTCTCTTCTGTTTCTAGTATTTGATGAGAATGAATCTTGGTACTTAGATGACAACATCAAAACATACTCTAAGAATCCCAAGAGAGTAAACAAAGAAAACGAAGAATTCATAGAAAGCAATAAAATGCATGGTATGACAAATGATTCTAAGCCCATTTTTCTTCTTTCAAGTAAAATTTTATTAGAGACTACTTGTTTGCTTTAAATTACTTTCCTCACTTTGTGAGGAGAATCCTGTCCAACAAGTGAACTCTGTTTAGAATAACTTACCAATTTCTCTCCCAATTCTAAATCTCATCCTCTTAAATTCAAATGTAGGATTTAAGCCTTCTGGTTCAAAGTGACAAGCAGGGTGTGACATCAGTGACCTTCAAATATTCATCTCTCTCATGTGTAGCAAAATCAGTGGTATCAAAAAGACTCCTTCCATGAACTTATACTTTCTCTGAAGCTTTTGGTTTAAAATATCCTGAAAGGTGATATGAAATCATGTTTTCTCTAGCTATCAATGGAAGACTGTTTGGAAACGTAGAAGGCCTCACAATGCATGTGGGGGACGAGGTCTACTGGTATCTGCTAGGCATGGGCAATGAAGTGGACTTGCATACTGTGCATTTTCACGGCCACAGCTTCCAGTACAAGGTAAGAGCTATCCATGGCAGTCACTCCTGCTGCATTTGGATGTTTTCATACAAAGAATTTATGAAATATTTATGAAAATTTGAAAGTTTCAAAGATTGCAGTAATTTCAACCGATACTCCAGCCCTGTTATACCATGGGTTCTTTTGATTCTGTCTTTACTGGATTTCAGTGGAGCTCTGTTCACACATTTTAAGTAAGGCATTTGAGTGGAAATGCTAACAAGGAGGGTAGGAGTGATCATGTGATGATCAGCCAGTCAGCAGAGATGAGGACTAGGCTTTAGCACAACTTTTCTAACCTGCTGGGTCTGGGTTAGGTAGGTCAAGTGGCCTGAAGCAAGCGAGATCAGTAAGGTGTCAAACAACTGACCTCCTGGGATCTCAATCCTGCTTCCATTCCTGACCCTCTGCTGATTTCAGCAGGAACCAATGGCTCTTTTGGAAATGTTTTTTTTTCTCATCATTGAGTTAATGCAGAAAACAAAGCTACTGAAAAAGCTACATTGCAGAAAGTTCATTTTATAATGTGAATTTTGTTTATACAGGTATATTATGTTCTTAGTGGACTTCCAATTTGATCCCTATGGAAATATATCTAACTCTTGTCTCTAGATGAGACTCTGCCTACACTACCCCTTTTTGCTGGCTTCTGTCCATGGGCCTCTTCTGCTGTTACCTGTGTTATTCTCTCTGCCCCATAGTTTCACAGACAAGATAGTCTGGGATCTGCAAGGGTGAGGTTGGGGCCTAAGTGGGGGACACAGTTCAGTTCCTCCATCCAGTTCAAGTCACAGTACAGAAGGTCACAAGTAGTCCAGACTACTGAACTCCCTCTCATCACACATTTTCTATCCTTTATGCCCACCAGGTGAGTCTATAGCACTGAGGCCATGAGGAAAAACAAGGTCCAGGACCACGTATCTCATTGTCTGAATTAAGCAGAAATATGCAGACTCAGTGACAGTGAGACAGACAGAGACAAAGAGACTGACTTACCAATTTTTCTAATATTCCTGAGCTAGTAATTTAAAGAATTATTTGGGTGAACTTTTATAAATATTGTATTTGTCATTTTTCTAATTTAAGCACAGAGGCATTTATAGCTCTGATGTCTTTGACATTTTTCCTGGAAAATTCCAAACCCTTGAAATGGTTCCGAAAACACCTGGAATTTGGTTACTCCACTGCCATGTAACTGACCACATTCACGCTGGGATGGAAACCATCTACACCGTTCTGCCAGGCGAAGGTGAATATATAGTTAGTAATTCTACAATTCATGTATTATAATTCAGATGCTATTTTGCCTAAGAACTTTCCCCAATAGGAAGCATCTGTGAATCTGCTGTGGTGCTTTCTTCCCTCTACTTCCATTAGAGACTTTTTTTCTGCTAATAGTGAGGGGTACTGCCCATGTTCTGAGAGCTGGTACTCAGAACACAGCCAGCAGTCTTTAAGCCAATACAGCCACCATTTGATGCAACGCAATTATAACTAAAGTTGACACAAAAAGTAGTCATATTAGTTATTTACCAAGAAACAAACTACGACTTTCAAGGTATGTTTAGAATTTAATTTCTTTAATAGAAAACATGAATTTTTTTCTAGGTAGCAGCTGAACAAAGATAAGCCCAGGTCAATCCAATGACCCCAAAATTACATGATTTCATTGTGTGAGGGATCCAGAAAAAATAAATTTAAATTCCCCCCGTCACCAACTTCTGCAACAGTCTCCTACATGAGCATGCACACACACACATACACACACCCTAAAACTACAGAAAATGAAGAGCCTTTTTGTGATCACATTATAAAGAATGAAATTCCTGCCTTGTAGATAAAGGTTTTGGTCTCTCCTGAGTTTCTAAATTCATGAATGTTGGAAATGGAAACGGCCAATTCAACAGGAAAATTATGTAAATTATGTTTTCTCATCAAAAATGGGGAAATATATAAATGAAAGACAATGTAGAAATGAATATATTTCAAGCTTTATCCTTAATGCAAATGAAGTAGAATTTCTGCTTCTGGTTCTTACAAGAAATCTTCTGTCATGAAAACTACCTTCATTAAAGTTCCTTGTATTACAAAGAACAGTTACTAATAAAAACAGGAAAAGGCAAATAAACCACCAAGTTTAACATGTTCCCACTGGTTTGCACCACCACTGCTACATGTGTCACTGTACTGCCAGGTGGCCTGTTCCACCTGATGCAACTGTCCCACCCCGCCTGATGGGACAGTCACGCATGCAACACCGGGCTTCAGAGCTCCCTGCCAGCAGCGAGACATGTAAATTACAGCCCCACTGTAAATGTGATAATGCCAGGAACTTGACTAATGTGAAGAGTCAAAAGGCTGGGGTCAAAAACTAAAATACTCTCTAAAGGACAGGAACTTGCAGGTAAACCAAACAAAAGGACGATCTTGCTCAGAGGGAACACCAGGCACATTTGGGAAATTCACATGAGCAAATGCTTGGCATGTGGAGATGACACCACAGGTGAACCCCACATACACAGACACTGAAGACACCTGCACTATGTACGCATCTGGAGGAGGAGAGGGAGATGACTGCTTGGCTAAGGAAGGAGAGACTGTTTTAAAGCTGTACAAAAAAATGGTAGCACAAATAGCAAATGAGAAAGAAAACACGTATTAGGAAGAATTACCAATAATCCTAGCACTTTAGGAAACAGAAGGACGGTAAAATCAAGCCCAGCCAGAGAAGCTTAACAAGACCTTGTCTGAAAAAATTTTAAAACATGGTGAGGGATGTAGCTCAGTGAGGTGGTCCGGGTTCAATTGAGTACCAAAAAATAATAACAAAGAAAGAAAGTTTAAGAGAAATTTGACTTTTACAAAGATGAAAACTATTGTTTGGGGCTTTAAAATGCAGTAATAGACAAAATATAGTTGTAACTATACACAAAAAAGTAGGGAGGCAAGTGAATCAGCCTGAATTATCTGTAAGTATAAGGTGGATAAAGCTTTGAGAAAAGCTACATGCCAGAAAAGTGCCTGGCTACCAGGACACAGGCAAGAGAGCACATAAAGGAAAAATAAAATACTGTTGCATTATGTACCAGGCTATAACTGTTTCCACAGAGAGAGAGAGAGAGACAGAGAGAGAGAGAAACAACCAGAAAAGAATGGTAGACATCTTCTCATTCTGAATGTAAACGTTTCACTTCTCCATCAAAAGCAGCACGTAAAATCAACTCACGCAAATGTAAAGAGTCCATTGCTAATCTGTGACTGTTCTGTGATAGTCAGCCTTTTAGATACTAATTACAGAAAGGAATGCCTGCTTGGCTTTAAATTTCTTACAGGTGGGGACTACACATTTGTATCTCTAATTAAGTATCCAAGTCTAACACAATACTCTTTTTGGTGATAATAACATTAGTTCAGTAAGTTACGTTTTTAAAACTTTCTTTGCATATAATTTCATTCTTACAGAAAAGATATAGGAGTAAAACAAAGAACTCTCGAATGCCCTCCATTCAGATTGCCCAGATACTAATTTTTACCCAGCCATAGCTGCTTTCTTATTCTCTCCATCTCCTTTCTCCTGCTCTCAATACATATACCCTTGTGTCTGTGTATGCAACTGTATATACCCAGGTTCCCTCAAACCAAGAATATTCTAGTACATAGCCATAATTACCTCAAATCAAGAAATTAAGTGATTAAAAACTACAGATCTTCTTCAGATTTCACCAGTCATCCTTTAAGAAGAGGTACTATGTACAAAGGGAAATAGCAGATCATGCCCTTACTGCTGGCGAATCTCTTCATCTCCCTCACGCTGGAAGTTCCTGTTTGTTTTGCTATACTGGGGCTTGAACCCAAGGTCTTCTCCCTGAGCTGCTTCTCCAGCTCTCTTGTATTTATTTATTTTTTGTGACTGAGTCTTGCTAAGTTGCCCAGGCAGGACGTGAACTTGCCACCCTCCCGACTCAAGACTCCCAGAGTGCTGGAATTACAGGGGTGCCCCTCAGTGCCTAGCAGTTCCCCCATCTTTTGTCTTTCACAGGAAGAGTACAGGGCAGTCACTTAATGGAATGCTCATCAACTGTTTTTTTTTCTAGTTTCCTCAGGGTTAGGCTGAGGCTACAGATTTTTGGCAAGACTGTCACACAAGTGATGCATTTTCCTTGGAACCGCATGTCAGAAGGAACAAGATAGTGATTTTTTCCAGGATTGGTTAAAAGTTTCAGCTTTTGCAACAGTGGTATATGACAAGTTCATTCACTGTAAATTTACTATTTTCCCCTTTATAATACGATCCTTGCAGGACAGAAATAATTCTCCTTTAATTAAAGCATTATAAGAATGAGATTTTTAAGCATATAAAAAGTAGAAAACTATAAATAAATTGATGAAACAAAAGAATACTTAAAAATTAGAATACATTTAATGCATAATTTACTAACCTTTTAAACCATATAAAATATATGACTTTAAATAATGGTCTTAAAATTTCTTTTTCTATAGAGATCAAGTATTGATGAAAGAAATTGGTGATAAGTGGGAAAAAAAGACAAAACAATGGTTCATAACAAATGTGTGTGACAGTGCTGAATGGAAAATTTACTGTGGAATGGCTATAAATATTAAAAACAAAAGACTGGAAACACATCTCTGTGCACTTAAGGGGGAATGCCATTATTTTTTGTAGATGGAAATATAATAAACTATACATGGAAAACGACTATATAATAGGAAACACAATTGACTCATACAGACCACTGATACTGCCACTCTTAGGACACCAGAAAACTACATTAAAAACAAATCTATGACCAGATATCCTGATGGTATTCAAAGGGTCACTATTTATTAAAATGTGTCCAACCATCATCTTCCCATCAAGACCTCCAACATCTTACTGAATACCTAAGGAGCCAGTGGGCATGGGGGTGAAATAAACATAAAACAAAAATACATCAATCCGAGCTTTGAACCCTTGAAAACATGGTCAAAATGACTGTATCTGAAAACTGGAGAAAGGCAGAGATTAAGAAACAATGCTTGTATATTATATTCCGGTTAAAAAAATTAATAAAATAATAAGAGGTTGCTACCAGAAAAAAGACCAAACTATTGTATCAGACACCAGGCAATTTGAAGTTTTCCCCCACCTTTAACTGGATTCAACAGACATATTACTGAGCTCAACTTGGACTCAAAATTGTTTAACAAGAAGTCGAAAAAGAAGACATTGTGGATGTCATGATATAGTTTTTTATTTTCACATTTACTCTAGCTGAAAGACCAAGAATACATATCAGCAAAAATGGCAACAAAGTTTTGGGTGAGAAACATACGGCACTCAATGATTCACAGGAACCAGCTTCATTGCATTCAGAGAGAAACACAGTATGAGTTTTAAAAGTTACAAGAAAATAATGTTTAAATCTTTTATTGTAACAAAACATTTACATCTTTCTCAAAGAGAATCATTTAAGAAGAAAAGTAACCCAGTAGAGAAATCCGGAAAATTCAAGAAGATTCTAGACACGTGGAGAAGTTTTCTCATAGTGTTCCCGGGATGAAAATGCCTGTTACGTCCTCAAACAAGTCGCTGGTCTTCCTTGGAATAAAAGTCAGTGTCTACCTTTACAAACAGCATTTCTTTGAGGAAGTCTTCCACCGTGAAGCTTTTTTACATTCTGTACAATTAAGTGGGTTCAGGATATAATTAAGAAATCAATAGTTCCTACCACTTGGTAAAATAAGCATCTTGAATTCATCTCTTAAAAAATAAAATCATAGACTTGTTTTTTTTTTTAATCTGGCGCTGAATTTTTAAAAATTCAGTTTCATATGCTCTTGTGGCATTTTTCAAATTACACCTTCATGCCAACGATTTCTTTCGACTACAATAAAGAAGATAAGGCAAGAAAAATGCTGCAGTGCCATCTTCTGGGAGAACGTTCAAGAAATCTCTTAATTCTAGGTCCACAGCAACAACTGACAATGTTTCTGTTTATGGGAAAGAAAACCTGGATTAGAACCGAATATTTGATTTTCATTTTAGCCCATCAATTAAGAGCTAATTCAGACAATAAAGTGTTAGAACAAAGAAAAAAACAAGCCTCTTCAATCCACAGATTATGTTTTAATAGCTTAATGTATCTTTTCTAGAATCCTGTAAAATCTATTGTATTATAGGAGTTGCTATTTCACTGCTAGATTACGACATTACTTTTCAACAGACTTCTATTCTCTAAAGAAAAATATACTCATTTGAATACATTTTAGTGTTAGAGGGCTATTCTGTACTAACATACAGACTGTTTGCTAGTCCGGGAAAAACCATAAGCTATTAGGTAACACTTTCAAAAACTGGTTCTGTTTATTATGAAATTTTCATATTATTAAACACAAATCTATTTTCATGACTATTACCTTTTATTCTAAACTGCAAAGGTGTGCTAATAATCATTTTCAATGTTAAGGAAATTTTTCTAGCATTTTTGTAAAGATAATGTTATTTTATGATTCTATTACTCCTTAATAGATACATGCTCTCCCAAAAAGAGTGACACCTACGTACAACTTTCCCAATAAACGTGCATGTGATCTTACACCTGTATCCACACCTCATTCCCTGTGTGATTCTTGTATGCCCTCCAATTACTCTATTTGCTGAGTTCATAATTTCTATCCTAAGTCATGTCTAATATCCAGTGATCTATTATGCTTTACACAAAGGATTAACACCTTGCTGAAAAGTTAGTGAACGAAGCAGTCACTAGTGGAAAGATCTCTAGCTCTGGCGTAAGACAGACTTACAGAGGGAACCACACACCACAACCTACTAGTTGAGTGAGCTTAAGGAAATCATTTCAGCCAGATATGGTGGTACATGCTTGTAATCTGAGCACTTAGGAGGCTGAGGCAGGTAGATCGCCACGAGCTCAAGGCTACTCTAAACTTCATAGCAAAACCTTGTTTCAAAACAAAAACAAAAACTACTACCTATCTTACAAAATTTGTGTAAAAAAACATGAATTACTGATGGTCTCCTGTTGAGTGAGTGCACGTAAATCTTAGATAGTTGTTAGATTAAAAAAAAAAAACTGATTTGGGGACTATAGAGCCAACAGAAATGTCATCAGTGCCCAATTATCTTTTCCCAAAAAGAAAGGTTACTGCAGGTTACACCATCTAGAAAAAGGTCTATACCTTGCATCTGTATTTTAATAGTTGATACAGTAGTTTTGTGCATGTTTTAATTTTATTTCTTCAAACATCATTTAAGATTTTGATTGATATAATGTATGCCTCATCCTAGAGAGATTATAGTAGGTAATATGCTTGATTTACAGTTGGGAAAATTAAGGCTAAAATATTAATTTGTCTATTCACATACCAGCTACCCAAATCTAGAAGTTGACCAAGAATAACCTATAATATAAATACACAAGTTTAAAACTGTCTACCATGTCTAAAAACTGTTTATCAATTGGTAAAAATAGCTATGTCCAGCTGGTGGGATTGAAGATGACTTTTTAATTATCTTTGGAATTTACAATGATACTACACCTTTTAAAGCACAGCTCATTACAAAAGGAGTAACAAATGCTTTCTTTAAACAAGCCATCTGCTAACCCATTTCATGTTAGTGCAGTGGCTCTCAGCTAAGACAAATTTCCCCCTCGGAGCCACCTGGAAACATTTTTATTAGCCATAACTTGTGCAGTGCTACTAGCCAAAGTCAAAGTCAAAGAGGAAACTTCCCCACACATGGGCAATTTTCAAACTGCAAAGGTTGGAAACAGTGTGTTAAAGACCCAAGAAATCAAGTTCCTAAACATATTTGTGTTCCTAACCATCACCTCCAACCTCACCCTTTTTTGCTCAACATTTTACTTTAGAGTGAGTCCAGAATATCTCTTCAGTCCAGCATATTAAAAAAACTGGCTTGCTCCAGGCTCTCCAGTTCCAGTTTTCCAGCAGTCTTCTGTCAATGTACTACAGCTGCTAACGGGAAGACCTCAGAAATGCCACTCAAGTTCTCCAGTGGCTGCTGGCTCTGCCTAATATTTAAAAACTTACTAGTTCAGCTGGAAAATACAATTCCATCCAGCACTGTCAGTTTTTAACATTTTATGTGTGCTGAAATGAAGGTAACCATTCTGTCATGAGACCAACAATTAACTACCAATAACAACACACAGTAGCAAGAAAATGAAAATGATGTCTCTACCAAAATTGGTAAATGCCTAAGAATAATGAAAATTCAAATATCTACACGGGTTAAAAAAAATCTACAATTTAGAGACTTTCAATTTTTTAAAATTCTTGAAGAATTTACCATTCTTTGATATCTACAATTGTGTTTAATACTCATAATCTTAATAAATTTCTACATGAAGTAAATTAAGCATTGAGATCATCAATAAGATAATTATCATAGTGGCTATAAAAATATTTAATAGAGTGAGTTCCTGTGCCTGTGATAATGTGTCAAGTGTTTGTAAAAGTTAACTTTAAAAGAGTGCCCACTCTGTGACCAGAAAACATAAAAGAATTTTTGTACCTGTGGCGGGGGCACTAGACGCTCCTTAGAAATAAGTTCTCCAGAGGATTCTGTGAGCCCTGTTTATCTCACTTGAGAATCATATGAAAAATTAAGAGACAGCAAGGCTCCAGTAAGTTTAAAATTTAGATTTAAATTTATAATCAACCAAAAAAATTATTTTACCTTTTAATGATGACAGGTAAAGCTGGTATTTCTCTCCACCACACTTTACTCTCTGACAAAGTTCAGGCAGAAGTTTTTTCCACCATAGAGTCTGTCTTAGGAAAAAATAAATAAATTTTAGTTTTGTCATATTTTATACTCAGCTTTCCAATGAGAAGACAATGTAGGAAAACAAACAACAAAAAAAAATACATGATTTCACTCAACTTCATTGTAATAGAAGTTATATTAGCAGCCAGTCTTCTGTGTACCAAAAAAAAAAAAAAAAGTTTGTAACTTGGATACGTGCACATGCCTATTCTGAAGAATAAACAAACATGTCCTGCTATCATGTCTTAAGTGGCAAGCAGGAAAGAAGAAAAAGTACTACAGTTTAAAATTTGCTAATTTCTAAACTAAAAACCACATGACACAGAAAATATATATATGTCTCTGAGACAGTTTTGTTATGCAGTTCAGCCTGGCCTTGAACTCTTCTGCGTAGCCCAAGCTGGTTTTGAATTTGCAGAAGTCCATCTGCCTCAGATTTCTGAGTGCTGGGATTACAGGAGTGTACCACCATGCCCAGCCTGTACCTGTTTCCTAAATCTTCAGGTTGTCATTTTTGTGACAGTGAAGTGGACTATTAACTTGAATGGTTTGGGATCTTCCCTAAAGATGAGTAAAACACATTTCTGAGTAGGCTGAGGTGTGACTATGAGATCTGTATCTGGTCTCTCACCTTTCCTCTCTGGCACTCTCCTATGCCCCTTCCTATTGTGATGCTACTGCCTTGGAGCCAGCCAATCATGGACCAAATCCCCAGAAACGTGATTCAATTTAAACCTTTCCTCTTTTAAATTGTGGTTCTTGGGTCTTCTGTCCCAGCTACAGGGAAGTTAATGAATGGAGACAATTGGTACTTGCGAAGTGGGCTTACTATTTTAACTATACATTACCATGTTAACCAGAATCCATTAGAGCTGGTTTGCAGAGCAGTTTGAAGAAGTGGGCTAAAGAAAGTCTAAAATGTTGTAAGCAAACATGATGGGCAATTCTAGTCACACTTTAGAAGAACAGTCTGTAAAGGTGAAGTTTTCATTATCAAACCAGGATTTTATGAATAATTGGACTAGAGACCTTGTATGTTACACTTTGGCAAAAATTCTGTCTCTAGTTCACCCATGTCTTTAGATTTTGTGGGAGACTGAGAGTAGAAGTGGCCGACTAACTGATTTAAGAGAGAAAAATTCAGACAGTCAAATGTTTAGGCTATGGCATGGGTACCCCTGGCTGCTTTTAGCCAAACTTATGAAAAGAATCAGAGGCATGAAGCAGATCAGGAAAAAGTGAAAAATCTTAAATCTGGCTCAAAAGCATGTGTAAGTGAAGTTGGGGCTAAAGTTGGACTGGTAGTTGCTAAAGACATTAGTATCATTAGTACCAAAAAGAAACTAAGTACTTTGTATGAGGACAAGAAGAGATACTTGCATCTCAGAAATTGTAGGCACAGAGTACATAAGTAAGTGTCAAGTTTTCATTTGAGAAGAATCTGTGGGACCCCTGCTGAAGAGAAACCTCCTGGGGAACTGGCTCCCCAGAATTCATTTCAGAGGCTCAGTTATCCAGGCGCTCAGAGGCTGCTCCTCCTGTAGCCTAAGGGAATCTGGTTACTGCTCCTGCTTCGAGCAGACCCTGGCATCATCACATGATACTGGTTTTACTGGTGTGAAGAATGCAAGAGCTGTGGTCTCCATCTAGATTCCAGACAAAGGGCTGGGAGGTTTGGCAAGCAATCTATGAGAGGACGGTGCATGATTCTCTGAGAGGAAATCTGCAGGTACAGTGGAAACTCGAGGAAATCAGAGATGTCGTAATGGGTAAGCTAACACAATCTCCAAACAGTATTTTTTAAAAAAGATAGTAACATGCCATTAATGTGCATTTTAATAACACTAACAATACTCAAATACTATAACATTAAGCATATGTTCATTGGCTCCACACAGTTTTATGAAGTTGGACTGGTATAAATTGTCCCCATTTTATAAATAAAGTAACGGGATTATCAAATCTGATGGTCATTGAACAAGCCTAAAAACAATCCAAAAAGCATACCCAGTTCTCTTCTTTCAGCTCATGAGGTACAGTGGAAACCCGAGGAAATCAGAGATACCGTAATAGGTAAGCTAACACAATCTCCAAACAGTTATTTTTTAAAAAAGATAGTAACATGCCATTAATGTGCATTTTAATAACACTAACAATACTCAAATACTGTAACATTAAGCATATGTTCATTGGCTCCACACAGTTTTATGAAGTTGGACTGGTATAAATTGTCCCCATTTTATAAATAAAGATTATCAAATCTGATGGTCACTGAACAAGCCTAAAAACATAATCCAAAAAGCATACCCGGTTCTCTTCTTTCAGCTCATGATTAGCATATGGAATGACCGCCTCTGGGCATCTCTCTAACAGTGTATCTATGCACTGTTCATACTCTTTCAAACGGGTACGACACAGAACATGGACACTGAGGCCAGCAACAGTGTCTTCTGAGAGTGGCTCCAAGAAGGGAACAACAGAAGCTATGTCAAATGAAGGACCACATATAAGAGACTATGAACAGAAAAGTGACAGGTCAGGGCATGAGGCATCTGCAAAACGGAAACACATATACACAGCATACATTTAAAACATATCATCGCTCTTCACTTGCTAAAGAAAAAATTGCTATTTTAGAATGTACATATATGGTTTGTTTTTTAGCAAATCCAAGAGGACTGCAGTATTAAATAATCTTGAATCCACAAGTTTAAAGAAAGCTCTCTTTAGTAGAAGCAAACATTTCATTTACTTTCAATAAACTGCAAATTAAAACTAATAGTTCTTTCGAATCCTAAAAAAGTAATCACTGTGTGATAGTCAAAGATTTATTTCCAATGTTCAGCACAAGAATAGTGAAAAATCAGTAGTTTAAATATTCAAACAAGGATGAGTTAAATTATAGTTGATTCATATGGTGGGACATAATAGTCATCAATATTATGCTTTCAAAGGCTAATTATAGGAAAATGTGATAAAATGGTGAGTAAAAAATTGTAATACAAAGTTACGTTGAGAGTGATTACTTTAATAAAAACCATGTAGATACATGCACATACAGAAATACATCTGGAAGAGGACTGCATTTGAAACAGATTAACTCACTGGATAGAAGCACAAAGCCCATTTTTTGTCTTCTTTTCACACTTTTCTCTATTTTCAAAATTTACTATGAGCATGCATTACATATATACTCAAAAATTGTACCATTTAAAAAAACTAACACTTCTGTTTAGAAGCTAATCATTTGCACCAATACTCTTTACCTTAAGCTAAATAACAAGCAACAGCTATTACTTCAGTATTTAGAATTTCACTGGTATTTTACCATCAAACAACTTTGCTAATACTTTACTTTAAATTTGTGTATAGCACTGTTAATTGTACACAAAAATAATCTCCATTTTTCCTTTCACCTGTAGGACAGATAGTTATATCTTGGCTTCTAATCCCTGTATCTTTTTCTCTCCAGCATGTTCTCACACTTCCCATGACTTCTCATGGAGCATGAGCTACGCCTTCACAGTAATCACAGTCAGCGTGATTACTTTATTCCAAATGTCTTCCAAGGAACAGCTAGGAGAATAAGGTTGGTATCTATTCTTTCAGCAAGTTTAGTAAATTATCCATCTGAATAATTTCCTGACAACAAAGTGCCACAAAATGAAATAAAGTAGTAATCTCCCACTCCCAGGATCTCCAATAAGGAAGAAAACAGACTATTTCTGTATCTACCCTTGATCTATTAGAATAATGGCTGAGGCAGGAAGGAAGAAAGCAGGGGCACCAGACCCAGTACAAAAGGAAATCAGTCAGCACTTGGTACAAAACGGGTAATGTAAGAGCATTTACTTAGTTTTACCCATATAATTAAGAAGTTTGATAATAATGAATACGATGGCTAAGAAACACCAAACAGTACATATTTCATCAGATGAAGAGTGGACCAAAGATTACTGGTATTCTTTAAAATACTGTTAATGTAGTCTGTTTCACAGAGCACTCCATTTTCTTTCAACTTTGGAAATGGACTCCTCTCCAAACTCAACACATGTATTATTTATTCCCTTTTTCAATCAAGATCTCTCTGACCCTCAGCCCTGATTCTGTAGGGCTGGAATCCACAGATTTGTCTTCTCTGTCTAGACAATCGGCACTGTTTTTAAGGAATGATGGCTGGCAAGGATGTGGAAAGGGTGAGAAACATGATAATTTTGGCAAAGAACAGGAAATTTACTTATCCTCCCAAAAGTAGCTTTTGGACATATAAAGGACTTATAGGTCTTAGTTATAGCACAAATATACTCTTAAAATGACTGAGGACAACAGACAAATTTGTATCAAATTTTTGGGAAGGGGAGGACAGTTACACAATTTTGGAAAAGCTTTCCAAGTGATTCTGAACTTTCCTATTACTCTAAGTGACAACCAGTGAAATATTTTGATTTTTTGATACTTATTTTCTTCTTAATGATTAAGACTAATTAACAGAGACAATATAGAAAAAGCTACAGTTAGAAAAGTTATTTGGAAAAGTTTACTTTGACATTTCTATCCTTTTGTTCTTCCTTTCTGTACCAAAGTCCAGGGTCTCCATGATCCTCGTGTCTCAGCACCTAGAGTGCCAAGATCATAGGTGTACACCGTCACACCCAGCTATGTTTCTATCCTTTAACAGCAAAGATTCTCAGGAAAAATGTACCCTTTTAAAGTACTTTCAAATGGATTTTAAAAGGTCACTACATACTACTTTTTTTCAAGCAATGATTATGCTTTAAAACTCCACAGCAGAAATGTGAAATTGCCCTGTAAATAGGTCATTACTGTGTGTGTTCTAAGAAAAGACAGAGCCCAGTGCTGGCCTTTGAATTTAAAGTCCACACTCAAGCAGTATTTCTAAAATAAAAACTTCTACAGCTGAGCCCTTAGGATCCTCTGCCTCATGAGGATACTAAATACCAAGAATCTTACATGACTTGTCAAAGAAAATACACAGAACTCCATCTCTGAGGACAGCACAATCCTGTCTGAACACGGAGTCTAAGTTAACAAGGCCTCTTAGGCTTTTTACCCAGCTCTCATTCCGTGTTTGGCATCTGGTTGCAGAAGCAGTAATGTGACTACAGTTTAAATCAGAGATGGCAAACTCTGAAGCCTAAGCAGAGAATGAAAAGGCATAAAGACAGTTGGATATAAGAAAAAGCATGCGCCCTTCAGCCTCTGGGCCGGATGACACCAGGGGCTGCTGGCCAGTGCCAGCCCTCAGGTCTCAGAAGCAATAAAGGTCTTGAGTGACCGGTTCTACTGTGTATTTTGAGCAGCTTGAAAATCCCGATTCTTGATATGAAATTCTAATTTTCATATACTGTCAGCTACATCAAGCAGATCAAACAACACAAATGCAGCAATGATAGTCCCTGGATCACTGAACTACATTAAATAAAATCACATGCAATTCAGCCAAGCGTAATCCAAGTCCGATGCATGCTTTGTTTCTCATTTTCACTGGAAAATACTTGCTATAGTCAAAATTCCCACGGGTTCATCTACATTTTCTAACTGTGCTTCTCTAGTTTTTGAAAATCTTTTTTTTTTTTTTTTTTTTGTCTTTTTCCTTTTTATCGGTACTGGGGATTGAACTCACGACTGCTTGCAAGGCAGACGCTTATGCCGCTGAGCTAAATCCCCAGCACCGAAAATCTTTTGTAGAAGAAACCAGATAAGCAGGCTACTTTGACCTGTCTCCTTCTAGGACACAAGACACAACCAATCATATGTGGTTGGGTTTGTTTAAAGGTCTACATTATTTAATCACACACACACACTAAAAACACCACCACACATTTGTCACACTTTAATCTCATATAGTTTATTCAAACACATCTTGAAAATGCTGAACACAGTTACACAACCTGCTGCAGCCTGCCTACCTACTGAAACTAGTCCCTCAGCTCAGACCCCTACCAGCAGCTCCAGGCTGAGGCAACTGTCTCCACCAAAGTGCTTGAGTATGCCTAACAACAGACTTTCCCCCAAATGATACATTCTAGATTAACAGAATACTTGATTTCTACCAAACTTAAATAAAAAGACACACTTTACTTACCTGTAATTTTGAAAGGTCGTCTGTATAATTTTTATCAGCTAAGGAATCAGATGACATTAAAACATGAACCCAGGGATAGATTAAGCCATAATGACTACAGGCATTTATCTAAAACATAAAAGGAATTTATCATAAGCAAGATAGAATAACAACAAAATTTCTCCTCACCTATTCACAAAACATAAGCAGTCATTAATCCTCTGCCATGTTATGGAATCGGCCAGTCTTAGTGCCGGAAGTCTTTCAGATATTTTACCATGGAAAATGTTCAGCCTTGTTTCTGCCCCAAATAATCTGCACTAAATACTTCCTTACAGTTTAAAACTTAAAATATTCCAAAGAAGTACTTTCTAACAAGAAAAACGGTATTGCTTGTAAGCTGATTATACTTTAAAAAGTTAATAGCAACACTGCAAATAGTTTTTACTTATATTACTTCATTTAGTTTTGGTTTTCTGTCTTTTTGAGACAGGGTCTCACTACACAGTTCAGACTGCCTTGAATTCACTTTGTAGTCCAGACTGGCCTCAGCCTTCCAGTCATCCTCCTGCCTCAGCCCCCTGAGTGCTAGATTATAGGGATGTGCCATATACTACTTCAGATGGGAGGCAAAATATTTTCCGTAAGTTCAAGATAATTTGCATGCAGTAACCTTTACTTAAGAAACTGCTGGGGCTGGGGATTTAGCTCAGCGGCATAAGCGCCTGCCTTGCAAGCAGGCAGTCGTTGTGAGTTCGATTCCTGGTACTGATTAAAAAAAAAAAGAAACTGCTGAATTTTTTCAGTTAACTCATACTAAGTATGGCTTCCATGAGAGGCAAAGGGCTGGAGGAAGAGAAGAGAGCAAAAAGAAGAATAGAAAAGGTGCTTATGTATGTAATGCTACAGATCATGACCCGTTGGTGGCATGCTCCTGTGTGTGCAGCTGGCAGGCAATGGGTGCCCGCCGAGGCGGCCTCCCGGCCCACGGGCCTTCAGAAGTTCCTCTCCCACTGGGAGGGTGGCAGCGGTCTCTTCTCTCATGTTCTACTTATCGATCCTCTGCTGAGGAAGGACATATCTGGAGGTGTCCTTTTCACATGCTTTCACTGTGATTAGGTAATACAGGAGAAATATGGGGCATTCTTCAGAACTTGAAATTACTTAAATGAGGACAATTCTGGTAATAGACTGGTCGGTGTACTTTTAATTCCAGTTTAAATAAGACATCTGGTAACAGAAAACTAGGTTTAACTCCAGCTCACTAACAATAAAATAGTTCTTGTAATCTGCCATGTCTGAGTTTAATTTAAAATACCATTGCATTTTCTTACCAGATCCTCTGATGTTCTCAAGGGTATGGTGTCAGGAAGTTGCCTCTTAGATAACCTCCAGATGTACTGTGATACGAGCTTGCAATAGAGCTCCTGAAGTACCACATCTGGGAGACAGGCCACCAGCTGCGCCTCCCAGAAGTCTACCAAGAGCTGAGGAATCGTATCTTCATCTTTACCACAGAGCACCTTGAAAACAGAAAGGAGCCTTCTGACACAGCACTGATCAATGACAGCCAGCCTGAACACCACTCCATCACGTGCGTCGTGCAAGCAATGCTTAGTGCCATGGCAAAACAAATTCAGACATTTTTAATGCGAGTTTGTTGGCTTCACGATTGCATGAATAAAGTCTCTCCAGAAATATTCTTTACTTGTATTTTTATGTTATAAATGGATTAGGTATAAGTCAAGTTTTTTCAATAAACATATGAAAATTTCACTTTTTATTCTTCTTGCGTTTCTATTGATTTTTATCAAGCCACCCAGAAAAATGACATTTTTAATGTGACAAACCTTAAAGAAAGAATCGGCCTCTTCAATTCCAATTTTGTTGTTCTTCTGCAAACCCAGGACTGCACCCACAAGCAGTCTAGGCTGAGTCTCCTTCAAGTGAACTGCAAGGTCTGTTGGAACAACCTGTCCCTTCCTCTGCTGAACCAGTAGCCGAGGTTCCAGAATGAAGCCACACACCAACTTCATCTTCAGATGAAAAGGAAATTTAGAAACGTTGTGTACAGTGTATTCAGATTTTCCTTTTGTCAGTATATCCTCCTGAATTTTGGATTCAGGGTTAAGCTATTAGCAATTTAGTTAAATAATACTTTTTATAAAGGCTAATTCATGAATTCCAAGCAGGACCATCATTTACTGCCTTATAGAAGTTATTAATATTTAAGTAAACATCAAGATACTCAATATTTGAAGACAGCTTAGATTTAGTTCAAATTTATGGAACTTACAAACTTACTTTTTTTTTTAGGATTCTACTCTTTAAAGCAGAAATGGGGTGTGGGATATATAGCTCAGTGGCACAGAACCTGACTGGAAAGTGTGAGGTCCTGAGCCAATTCATGATACCCACCCCAAAAAAGGGCAGAAGATACCCCAATATTGACATGTTCTCTTCTTCACTGTAACAAAACATACCACTTGTAAAACATTAAAGCGCTTCAACTCTTATTTTAGAACTAGGATTTTACTATCAGCATCTGACAATAGTATACAACACAAATTCTGAAAGTAAGCTACTTGGCTCCTTCTGGATTGTGATCATGAACAAGTTAAGCTCTCTGGCCTTAGCTGCCTCTCACAGCATTTCAGTAAGAATTAAAGAAGATAACACATGCAAGAGGCCTAGATAGCCCTGGGATACAATAAAAGCTTAAATAATGTTACTTTCAATTTTCTTTCCTTAAATGATTAACATCTTTGCCTCGGGTCCCTAAATGATATCCCTAAATGATTTCTTTTCCAAGGGAAATGACCTTTCTTCATGTGATGACGCACTCCAATGTCCAATCTTCCATAAAGTCACCTGTGATATCTACTAGACATTTAATAAGGCTCACAGGCAACACTTCCTTTGCTATACTTGAATATGCATTTCTCTGCTCTCTCTCCAGAGAATGCACCCTATTTCTCATGTCCGATCGGATTGTTGGCTCTAGTTAGAGAGCCTGTATATTCTTCAGCACTGATCACAGTCTGCTGAAGGTACTTTGCACTAGGTAGAAAGGTCTTTGATGATCTGTTGGTATCACCATCAGTCTTTCTGCTTTTCATTTGCTAGATGTGAAATCCCACTTGGATCACTTCCCTTCCAATAGCAGGTCTGCTGCCCACTACAATTAAAAAAGCATAAGCTATAAAAAGCAAAAACTCCTTGGGACTGCAGCCTCCTCTAGCCCCCTGCCGTTGACACCAGGCAGAGCATCATACCTCTGAATGACTTTTCATTTCATTCCTATACATGTCAAGTTCTCCCATCCTTAGAGCCAGTGCTGCTTTGACCAGTGTCACTAAAATTGAGGAGAATCCACAGGTATCCAGCTTCCTCAGGTATCTCAAGGCAGTTAAGGGATTCACATTCTTCATACAAGGACTACAGAGAACATGAGGCAATTGTTTTGGTTCGGCTACATGAAACATCTGAACCACTTTTGCTGCCAATTCCTTGGATGAGCAAGAACAAAGAGTAAAAGATCTGTCAGCCAAAAGAAGTCAAAATTGAAAATGCACACATAAAGATATAAGATACAAACATTGTGATTAAAGATAAAATTAGAGTATCTTTTTGATTAAAAATGAGTTGATTAGACACACGGGAGATCTACGCTGACTTGACGTGATCTCTTTGCTGAATGAAAATGAAGATAAAGCAGTGGAAATACGCAACAGGTTGTGAACAACATTTATAATTTTAACAGGAATTCAGAAGAAGAAAATAAACATTTCATCAAATTATACTTTACAAAACAACAGTTCAAAGTATATCCAATGAAGCAATCTATGTGAGAGAACTTTTTCTCACCTAAGGATTTGGTATTACAATTTACAACTGTATCAAAAATACACTAAGGACTAAAAATATTTCCTATTAATGTCTGAAGTCCCTGGGCCAAGGCTGTCCAAGTGAAGTTTTGGACACCTGGAGAACTGAGGCACTAGAGGTGTGGGAAGGACTTCGGATGAGAAGGCAGGCAAGGCTCATGTTCTAGAAGTCTCGCTACTGTCACCAGGCAAGTCCTCTGGCCACGTGGACTGCATCCCCCATGGGCATAGGGAGGGAACGTGAGAGGATGGGCCACACGTTCTATAATCACTAACAAAGAAAGGGGCATGTTAGCTTTTGGAGCAAAAAGAGTAACAAAGATGAAAACAGTTAATCTGACTTCCAAATAGTAAGATATACAATTAATAAAATGAGTTAAAAAATATTAGTTTTAACAAAGAAAACTATATTCACTTCACTTAATTCTTCATCCAGGTTTTCATAAAGTGAATGATTAATATAAAAGATCAATCCCCTCTCATATTTCTGAGATTCATCCTCTGTTGCCCAATCCACGCGGTTCAGAACTTCAGCCAGAGACAAACCAGACATCTTATAGTACGGTAAGGCGAGGTGGGAATTCTGGGTGTCAAGCCTAAAGGGAAGGAAACAAAACCCCTCACACTTGTGAATTTTAAGCCTGTATGTTTAACATAGCCAATAGTAAAACACATCATGCTTTCCAAAGACATACATTTCAAAATACTTTTGCACGGCCATTAGTAATTGAAACAAATGTTTAGTGTTATTTTTAAGTCATTCTAATTAATAGTTTCCTTTTGTATGTTTATTATATAGAAAAATAATTATGTGAATTATAATATTCATAATGTGGCTCCAAAGTAAAGGTGTTACAGGTAGAAAGTCTGCTTTATTAATTTATAATCATTACCATGGGTCACGAAAGCCTCTGAAACACACACACAGGAACACACACATGCACAAATTCATAAACAATCTTCTTAAAGCAAAAACAGTAATTACTATCCACTCTAGCATCTTTTTCTGACACCTTGAGAGCACTGACTAGTAAGACTGAAATCACAGGCTGTCTAAAAAAAGACACCTGCACTTGAAGCTAACGGTGATAAAGAAGAAAGAGGACTGAGAGAGTTTTCACTGGTAATAGGTCCTAAAAAAAATTCCAATTCTGAAGTTAAGTGATAGGAGACTATAAACTTGAGACTTACTGCTCATCTAATACAGAGCGACTCTTTAAAACAGGAGAGGCGTCACTTTCATCTGTATCTCTAAGCCCAGCCTAGTACAAGGTATATAGTATGTGTTTAATAAATGCTTGTGAAATATGTGAATAAACAAACCACCTCCTTTCACATGTTTCCTTATTTATGACTATCAGGTTAAAAAGCTGGGAACTATATCCAGCATTCAAGATGGTTACCAACCTGCTGTAACAATCTCCAAGGTGCCCACAGCTTTCTTTAAATGCCTCCAAAAGCTCTGCTTTCTCTCCGGGTTCCAGCTGACTGGCATCCATCAAGGCAGCTCTCACTAACAGATGGGCCTCGCTGAGAAGGTGGATGCAGCTCTGGGTTTTCACAGTCTTGTAGGTGTTACTATAGTCTACCTAGAACAACAGACCGACACCTAATGTTGCTGCAGAGACGCTTCTGACAGCTTTCCAGTTCTTCAACACATCTAACTTGTGTTAGTAACATTTCCATTGGAGCACATTAAACACTGAGAGTAAATACAGTACACATCATCAATAGGCCCAACAGTTTTCTTTCTCCACAATCTGTGAGCCAGTTTAACACATGTATCACTATAAACACTACCTTGTTTAACTGCTTTAAGGACCAAAGAAGGCTGGGGATGTAGCTCAGTAGTAGAGCGCCTGCTTAGGACAACCAAGGCCCTAGATTCAACCCCTAGCATCATAAAAATAAAGTTTTCAAAAAACAGCGAGAGAAGGTGAAAATAAATTAAGCATACACTTAACATAGTGATCATTTGGTCCCAATAAGATAAAGCCAGGGAAATATTTAAAATACTTAACTTCTCTTTTTACATTATGATTTAAAAAGAAAACTCTTTCAAATTGAGACCATTTCCTTCCTGAGTTTCAACTTAGGATCTACTGCATAATTCACAAGGGTTCATAAAGATTATCACTAGCTAATTTGAGTCAATCAGTATATTCAGATGCTAGTAGTCAGATTAGCTAGATAAAGTCTAATACCTTCAATTAAGCAGGACTGAAAGATAGGACCAAGCTGATATATAGTAATTATCAGCATAAATTTCGGGGGAGGGGAATCAGGAAACATTTTTACCTGCTTATCAAAATTAATATCACTAGTGAGGAGCAGAGGGACTTCGTGTCCTTCCAGATATTATACACTAAAATAATTAAGAATGCATAATCTGGATCTACTCTTGAAGAAATAATCTAACAAACACAAAATGAAGAACACTCTAAAATAAAAAGGTAGAGAAACTGTATTTATCAAAAATGAAATAGTGTCACAAAATAAAAGCAAAGGCAGCAGAAGCAGTCTAGACTCAAGGAGGCTAAAGAGTCATGGTAGTCACATATATTACCTGACTGCAAACTGGATCCTAGAATGAAGTGGGTGGAAAATGTTTATAAGCCATTACTGGGTCACTTACCAAAACTGCAGTAAGCAGTCCAGATCAGATATCATTTCTAGGTTAAATTTATTCAAGTATGTAACTGTAGCATGGTTATACAAGAGAATATCTGACTTTTAGAGAATATATGATGAAATGTTTAGGTGCAAAAAGTTCCTATATATTGAAATGACTTTCCGATGGATCAGAAAAGAAAAAATTGGGTGTTGAGAAAGCATAAAAAGAAAGAGAAGCAAAGGGGTACAGCACTGACCCATAAGCGTATCTGTAAGGAGAAAATAGGGTTTCTTTGTGCTATTCTTATTCTTTCAACTTTCCTCTAAATGTAAATTAAAAAAAAATTAAAATCACTGGCAGTGAAGAGTAGGAAGCTCTCACCCTTAGAACAAGAGTAAGGATGCCCCCTGCAGGGCCCTTCCTGGACCAACTGGAGTGCACTAAACAGTCTGCTAATATGCAAAGAAAGAAGAGATGGGCATAGATGGTCCCACAGTTTTTCTAACTCCATTTCATGTTCCTCTTTGCTAGGGTTCAAAGTCAAAGGCAAGAGCTACTAATATTCAGTGTGGACCACTGATCCTTTTTACAAGATGTATTTGAATAAGGGACTCTTAATTTTAGTGAAGGGAATTTTTAGTAGCTCCTCAAATGTTAGAAGCAGTGAAAATGAGAAAGTGAAGAAGGATACACACACCTCTGTCACACAGATCCTGGAAACTGGTTGGCTGAGGCATCCTGAATGTATGATATACATAATCAATTTATGATCATCAATTTTACTCAATTTCTACAAATAGTCAGAAGTCTGAAAAAAAGTACCATTTCTTTGTACAGTTGTACTGGTGAGGTCGTATTCACAATATACAAACTCCAGCCAGCCTCAGCTACAGGTGGTTTGATCTTAACACTGGTATCTTTTCTAGAACTGAAAGTATAACAAAGGTTAACAACTGTTAAGTAAGATGTGTTATTAATAAATGACAGTACTAGCCAGTAAATACTGGGTGCTACAAAATACTGTAACTATGAAATCACTTTCATTCAGTTATTTCTTCAGTGATCACCTCTAAATTGGTTTTCATTGAACACAACTGTTCAGTACTATAGGGGCCAACTATATTCAATATAACTACCATGTGCTGATAAACCAATTGCTTCCAATTCATTCCATAAGTATTTTCAAAAGAGCAAACTCAAATAGCAGGCTATGAAAGTCCCTGTGCCCAGGGTCTCTCCTGCCTGCAGCCTTCATGAGGCCAAAGAACATCAAATAGAACATTACTAGTCTGGAAATTAGTGTTCTACTGTGAGCAATGTGAAAACAGGCCACAAGTTAACTAGAAATTAATGTAATAAAAATGCAATTTGATTTTAAAGTAGATCGGCAAACATCTAGGGATCATGAACATGCTGTCAGGTGAGAAGCACGTTGTTATTAATTTCTTCTACAACATCAGAAAGCAATCTTTGGATAAAAAATAAAACGGATACAAAGTCAAAAAAGAAAAGCAGGGAAAAAGTCATATAACTTGAATTAGCATAAAATGTTCTTTCTCATTAATTACTCAGAAAAGCATGATTTTAAGATTCTTATCTAAAGGGGCTGGGGATTTAGCTCAGCGGCATAAGCACCTGCCTTGCAAGCAGGCGGTGGTGAGTTCGATCCCTGGTACTGGTAAAAAACAAACAAACAAATAAAAAAAGATTCTTATCTAAAATAGGTCTGCTTTTTACTGAACCTATTTTAGAATTCAATTTCTCCTAAAAGCTCTGTGGTCCATTATAAAGGTCATTACCGAGGTCTCTGGAACCTCTTTCAACTTCTCTGGAAAAAGAACACCACAGAACAGCTATGTGATCATTTCCAACAAGACACTCCCAAGCCACCGTGGCTACAAGCCATTCCCAGGAATGCCCCTTGGGGGCAAGAGGATGCTTACAGCAACTTTCTGGGTGATTCTCTTCTCTCTGGAAAGGCTTCTGGCTCTGCCTTGGTCAAAAGAACTACATGATTTCTAAAATGACACATAGCTTTCAAGCCTATAAAAAGCTGTATTCTTAGAGCACAGACATCCATACTAACAGGTGGGCAAGCCTGGTAAAGAAAAAAAAAAATCACAAATTTAACCAAGGAATAATGGCATGTGGACTTAGTCATCAAGAATCAGTCTATTTATTCAATACAATCTCTTCTGCTTTATTCACCCCTCAGTAAGCCCAATTTCCTGTTTTTAAGACACTGACAGGTTATCGGTACCTATGTAAGCAACTGTCTCTTTATTTATAGAGCAACTCAATCAATAACATTAGTAATAGTTGACTGAATAAATGCAGATTGAAGGTCCCATGGCTGCAGGAACTCCTGTAGCGTTTGAGGCAGAATCCTGGGTGGTAAAGTGCCACCCAGGCAAATGCCCACACACACTGGGCTGGCTTGGGCTACATCCTAATGGCACTTCCAGGCAAAACTCACACACTGTGGGAGAAGATTCTATGGTGTGGAAAGTGCATATAATGGTTTCTTTGCGGGTAAGTGTATGCAAAAGATTCTTGCATGTCCAGAGAGCCCTGACTGTGATCTTTTGGGTGTGAAGAGAACCATATCCAGAACAGCTCACAGGCTGGACCTGTGAGGTAAATTAAGGAGCTAGGCTACTGCTTGCTCGTGGAGGAGACCACTAACCTAGGAAGAACAGACAAGAAAGACAATGGAAGGGTTATTTCTGGAATCTCACAAAATGAGGCTGACAGGCCTCTGACCTCTGCTCTATGATTTTGATTCTGAGGTCATCACCATCATCCCTTTGCATAAAAGGCCTGGGGAAACAACTCATTTATGTTTTCATTTATAAAATAGTTAAGTTAGCCAGGTGTTGTAGCACACACCTATAATCCCACCACCCAGGAGGCTGAGGCAGGAGGATCACTGTGAGTTTGAGGCCAGCCTGGGAAACAGAGTGAGACCCTCTCTCTCTCTCTCAAAAAAAAAAGTTAAATTGAATGTGGGTTATGCTGAAGAGCCAGAATCTCAGCGGAAAGGGAGGGAGGATCACACGTACTTTGGATCAGACTATGTGATTGTAAAACCTTTCCCAATGCCACAGCTCCCAGCCTGAGTCAGCACGTGGGTGTGAAATCACCAAGGCCAGGATTTCAGAACTGGCAGAACCACAGAAGGGAAGTCTGAGGTGAGATCACCGCCACCTTTCCCTTCCTGCCTCCACCGGCCTCAGAGAGCAGGCTCCCGCCAGCTGCTGCCCTCCGCTTTCCCTTCCCCTTATCTCTTCTTGGTCTCTCTGGATTTTTGAGAGTGTAGGAAGATACAGAATCATGAGCTCATCAAATGCTGACTGATTCTACTTCAGTCTACAAAGCAATTGTGTCCCCCAGTTGCACAAATGCCATTGTGGGCTTACGTATTTCTGAGGCTTAAAAAGGCCTGCTGGGAGGAAAAGAAAAGGATGAAGAGGAAAGAATGGAAGCTACTTCATCACAGTTATCTTCCCATTTTTACTAGAAAAAGAATTCTCATTTTAAAAATCATCTCTTACTAGAAAAGCTTATGTATGTATTTTATATAAGGAATAGGAAGGGCCAGGGACATAGCTCAGTGGCCCAGGGCCTGATGGGCAAGTGCAAGGGCCTGAGGTAGATTCCTGGTACCAAAAGAAAAAACGGCATGGGAAATCTGTGACTCTGGTCCCCAAAGAGATGAAGGCAAGCAGTAAGCCTGGCCACCAACAGAAATCTACTGGCAGGTCATGACAAACAAGAGTTATGAAGAACTCAGACACTACACTTTCCGTAAAATGCTTGCTTAACCATAAAGCAAGTGACAGTGACTGTGATAAGTGTACTGACTCTGTTACTGTAACCACTGCCATGGAACACGTTTTTCTGTAAAAAGCCACACAAGGTTCCAGGTAAACATCAACTAACTTGTGAAAACAGAGCAGCATGTACCTTCATAACAAATATCAATTCAAAGGCCTTTTAAGTCAGAAGTAAAACAGCAGAGAAAAATATGAGGCAAATAATCAGTATGTAAGAACACAAGTCAAGGTCAGAAGATCATCAAAAACTGTCAATATTTTGTGGTCAAGAACTTTTCTAAGACTAATACAGAAAACTGTTGAAGGCTTGAAAAAAGAAGAATTGGGCCAGGGATTTGGCTCAGTGGCACAGCGCCTGGCTGGCAAGCATGAGGTCCTGCGCTCGAGTCCTTGTACCGAAAAAAAGAATTATAGATGCATCTGGTAATAGTATAAATAAACCATTTCAATGCATCTTACTCAATTTTCTACTCCTGACTATACTGGTATCTGCACTGTTTTGTTAATAGCTGCACAACTGCTACAAGTATTTCTGTTAAAAAACAAAAAACAAAATAAAATTGTGAGAATCAAGATGGCAGGGGAGCAGGCACAACAAAAGTCAGCCTCTCCGAGATCGAGATCGAGAACCCAAACACTGGAAAATAACAACTTGCGGAAGAAATAAAGAGAAGTAGGTTGTCAGAAATTTACAAGGAACTGACAAAAACATTAAAAGCTATAGAGAAGTTTGAAAGACAGACCACAAGGCAAAGAAGGAAATGAAACAGTTGTCTCTCCGGGCTCCTGTCTCAGTTTGTGGTTCTCGGGGAGGACAGCCTGATTCTGCAGAAACAAGGTGACCTCTGGGAACCCTAGGGGAAACACAGTAGCAGTGAACTGGCCTGGGACCCAAGACTCTGGAAAGGGCCCACAGTTGTGCTCTCAGGACAGGGCAAAGCTTTAATCTGAGGGAACTCCTTCCACGCAGCAGGCAACATCCACAGTGGTATCCCAGTGCTGGCGTCTGCACACTGCGGAGAGTACTAAAGGTCAGGAGCCAATCCTGGAAGGGGTTGGCTGTCTGAATCTGGGACTCAGATGGGGATGGGGAGCATCTCCCTTCATGGCTCCTAGGGTTACTCTCCCACTGTGACTGGGTGAGAAACAGGCATGGTGATAACAAAGGACAGGAACAAACGTGCTATAAAGAGACCACTGAGGGGTTTGCGCTTGGGCTGGGAAGGGCACCAGCCCCTCTCCGGAGATGGGAGGCCAGGACAAGCTTGCATTGTGCTGCATCTGAAATTGACTGTTGCACCTTCACCCTATGCCTGCATCCAGCACAGATCTGATTATCTGCCTTACCTACCAGTGCAAATCACAGACCCACTTCAGCTTACATATTCCCACAGCTCAGAGTAAACGAAGGGAGCCTCTGGAATGGGGAAGAGGCACTTGCATTTGCACAGTCCATAAGGCAAGGCAGAGAAACTGAATCGCTGGACTCCAAAACACAGATTCTGGGAAAAAATCATTCATTCAAAAATATAGAGAATTTTTTCTATTTTTAGACTTTTTAAAATTGATTTTTCTCTTTCTTTCTCCCTAGTTGACTGGAGTCTGAGGGTTTTTCCTTTGTCTTTATTTTTTCTTTTTCCTTTTAGTTGTTTTCTTTTAATTTTTTCTTGTTTTTATTATACCTTTTTTTTTCTTTTTCATCTTTTTCATTTATATTCTTTTCTTATTTTTGTTAAAATCTACCTCTATGAATGTCCTACTCCTTAGTAAGACTTTTCCTCTCACTTGTCTCCTCTCCCATTATTTAATTTTTCAAATTTTTCTTTTTGCATTCTGCCATTCCCAACCCCCTATATCTTTAATAGCATAACCACTAACTTTTAGTACTCTTTAGCTAGCTAACTCTCTGTAATTACTGTTGAATCTTTAAATTTAACTCAAAAAGAAATTCACAGATTAAAAATTAAAGGATATGAGTTCAATCCCTGGTACCAAAAAAAAAAAAAAAACAAAAAAACAACTTAAGGATAGAAAAAATATTCTATGTAATGGGAACTTTACCACAAGGAGTACTTCTCCTACTTTAAGACAAAGTGAATGTCAAACTGAAACTATCAGAAGAGGTAAAAGAGGTCACCACATATTGGGTACAGGAAAATTTGACTAGATGGGATACATGAACCTTACACCATTACACCCAACTTCATAAATAATACATAAAAGATCAAGGAAACATCAACACAATTGGGGACTTCAATATCCCACCGTCACAAACAGATCACCCAGGACACCCCCCCCCCCAAATTCAACAAAGAAGTACAATAAATAGTACTTTGGTTCACAAATGCTTTTGGTTGCAAACAATTTTGGTTTAGCAAAACACTGCTTTTGTTTGCAAACTCTGCATTGGGGGACAGACATTACCACAGCCATCTTTCTCACACAAATACAAATGTGGTCATCTTTTCCTTTTGGACCAAATTAAGTTCATGAACCAAGGCACCACTATATTAGAGTTGAACCAAACTTTCAAACAAATAGGCTAATATATACCTATAGTGTTCCCCCAAACAGTAACACAGAGAACTTTACTCAAAATAGAGCATGTACTATCCCATAAAGCATACTTAGATAAATGCAAAGAATCAAAACCATCCCATGCACATTATCATATCAGTGCAATGAAACTAGAAATCAATGGCAAAAGAACCTCCAGAAATTATACAAATAGGGAAAACAAATAATTCTCTCTTAAATAATCAGTGGTTCACAAAAGAAATCAAGGAACAAATTTGAAAATTTGTAGAATCAAATGGTAATGCCAGCACAACATACCAGTATGGCACACAATGAAGCTAACACACAAAAATCAGTAGCATTTCTGTACCAAATAATAAACTCACTGAGAAATAAATTATGGAAACAAATCTTTCATATTAGCATCAACAAAATTAAGTACTTAGGAATTAACCAATCCAAGGAAGTGAAAGAACTCTATAATGAAGTATATAGTACTTTAAGAAAGAAGACCAAAAAGAATATCAGAAAATGAAAATAGCCAGACATAGTAGCTCATGTGTGTAATCCCAGCACTTGGGAGGCTGAGGCAGGAGGATCGTTGTGAGTTCAAGACCAGCCTGGGCTACAAAGTGAGCTCAAGGCCAGCCTAAACTGCATAGTAAGACCCTGTCTCAAAAAGACAAAAAAAAAGAAAGAAAAAGAAAATATATCCCTGTTCTTCAACAGGTTGAACCAACACTGTCAAAATAGCCATACTTCTAAAACTGATACACAGATTTAATGAAATCATAATCAAAAATGGTTTTACATTGTTTTGATATACTTAATGCTACAGTATACGAAGTTGTACTCAAGGATTTCAAGGAAAGAGACAATATGGTAACTACTTTTGGGTTGGGATTATCTGGTGGTGAAACACTATTCTGCTTAAATGGTTATGTTTCGATCTGCGCTGTTTCGCTGTTATGCCCTCTTTTATCTCAATCTCCACTCCATTATTTACTTTTTTATTTTTATCCATTTAATTAAAGGAAAAAAAATAGCAGGATATATTATAGTAACCCACTTTGACTTTCCATTATCTCGATTTGAAGCCCTGTATTACTCTCCCCATCTTGTTTTTGACTGATGTTCCCCTATTCTGTTTTGCTGGATAGTACCAGGTTCAAAAATTTAGGCATCAGCTGTGAAGATAATGAGATTCATTATAACGCCCATTCTCGTTGACTTTTATCTACTTTTGAAGACCTACAATGTCTCCAATGTTTTGGTTTTGTCAGTTTTGTTCTTTACTGTTTTGTTCAATTGTATTATAACTAATGATATAGGCAATTCTATTAGAGATAGCGGGAGGCATTATGGTAACCATTGTTGATCACCTTGTATTATGTTTTTACATTATCTATTATGTCCACCCTTTTGACTTGACCGATTCTGTTCTGTTATGTCACATTTGGTTTTACTCTCTTCCAAAAAAGTAATAAGAACCGTGGGAGCAATGAAACCCAAAATGTGTAATAGTCATTGTACAAAAGAGAGGAAAAGAAAGTGCTCTAAACTATATAACTGCATGTATATTTAAGTGTATAAGATAGAAAATGATATCACAGAGTTTTATTGGATCATTGAATAGAACTGTTTGCAGTATCATTGTTGGAATGTCCACTTTACAAGCTTTAATTTTGTGACTTGAACAACTATTTCTAAGATGACAATATGTAATCCATTAACTAGTGATTTCCTACTGTTCACTTTTTTTCTGTAAATCTGTATAACTTGTACCCTTTCTCTGCTTTTTTTTTTCTTTTCTCCTTAAATAAAATTTTAAAAAAAATAGCAAAAGCATTCTTCAAAGAACTTCAAAGAAAACAATCTTAAAATTTATATAGACCCAGACAAGACCAAGAATAGCAAAAGCAATCCTGGACAACAAAAGTAAGGCAGGAGACATGACAATCCCTGTCTCTGAGTTATATTACAGAGCTACAGTGATAAAAACACTGTGGAACTGGAAACAACAAACAAGAACTCACATATGTAAATCAGTAGAGCAGAATAGAGAATACAGAAACAACTTTAGGTATATTCAGCTACTTGATCTTTGACAAGGGGGCCAGAAACTTATGCTGAGAAATGACAGCATCTTTAACACTCAATGCTAGGAAAACTGGCCATACAGAAACAAGAGATTGATCCTAGACCTGCATCTCTCACTATGTACTAAACTAAACCAAAAGTGGACCAAAGACCTATAAATCAAAAGATCTTCCTACTGGAAGATAAAATAGTGAAACTCTCAAGACATAGGTGCAAAGCAAGGACTTTCTGAATGGAACTCCAACTGCACATGAAATAATACCAGGAATCAACAAATGACATTGTATCAAATTAAAAACACTCTAGACAGCAAAAGGAGCAACAAACAGAGTGAAGAGACAACCGAATAGGAAAGTATTTTTCTGGCCATTCCTCAGACAGAAATACATGTATGATATATTTGGAGTTAAAAAAATTACACCCTCCAAAGTAAATAATCCAATCAAAAAATGGGCAACTGAAATGAACACACTTTACTGAAGTATAAACGGGCACGAAACACATGATAGCAGTGTGCAGTATCTCTGGTGATTACAGAAATGCAAATTAAAACAAAACCCAGCTTTTGGTGACAGCGGATACTGAGAGATCCAGCCATGCCAAGGACGTCCATTCTCTGTCTAAAGTGTCTTTTGAGCACTTTCTCCCCATTCCAAGTACCCCAATAAAATGATTTGATCCCCCCACAAAAAACCCAGACCCCACCTTACTCTGGAGGGAATGGCTATGATCAAGACATCAAACAATAACAAACGCTGGAGAGGTTCCCAGGAAAAGGGAATCCTACACTGCTGGTGGGAGTGAAACTAGTACCACCACTACCAAATCAGTACAGTGATTCCTCTAAACACTAAAATTAGAAATTCTACTTGACCCACTTATTCCCCTTCTAAGTGTCTTCTTCAGAGAATTAAAGGCATCACATCACAGCAATATACGCATACCCATATTCATAGCAGCATAATTCACAACAGCTGAATCTCAAACGTGGCCTACATGCCCACCGACACAAGGATGGGTGAAGGATATGTGACATTCACACACAACAGAGTACTAGTCTGTCATTAAGAAGGATAAACGAGTTATTTGGTAAAAAATGCCTGCACCTTGAGATTATGGTAAGTGAAATAAATCAGACGTACAATCCTAAATACTGCATAGTTTTTCTTACATAAGAAACTCAAATACAAAGACAAAATAGAGGACGGATAATAGAAAAAAAAAGGAGAGTTTTCTAGAGGACTTCTTAGCTTATTAATCAAAATACTGCTTTTATTTCTGTATTTTGTGATGCTTGTATTTGGCAGATGTTTACAAGTGTATTATAAGCGTCAGACTTTACTAATCAGGGTTCTCTCTTCATTTTTGATAATTTCATTTTGTATTTTTGTCAAGTAAATAAAAAACCTTTGGGTTCGAGAAGAAAAATTATCAAGGCTTGGCTTGAAAAAAATAAACTGTGGTATAATAATAGTTGTACACTGCTATCTCTGAAATTTCACTACACACACACACACACACACACACATACACACACTCACTCAACTTAAAAACTATGCACTAAATCAACCTCCCGTGAAATGTTCTCAAAGCAATCCAAAGAGCTGCCATTACAACCACACATCATAAAATGCTTAATATTCTACATGCAAAGTTCTATTCCAATAAATAAGACAACCTTTAGGCCATAGTCCTTTCCCAGCCTAGCCCCAACAGCAAATCTACAAGTATTCACGTGCTCCCTTTGGATCTTAAGGTTTCACGAGGCACTAGCTGCTAGTTTAGCTAACCTTCAGCGTGGTGTCCATGTAGGGGTCCTCCTCACGAGCTGCAGCCGCGCTACACCGCACTGTGAAACACTGCAGGTTGTTTCTGAGAAAGAAGAAAGAGGTGGCTGAGCAGAGGAGAGGACAAGCACCAACACACGCTCTACAGTGCGGAGGGCTTCACAGGCGAACAGAGCAATGGGAAGTAGGAGAAAACTCAAATGTTGATGAGTTATACTAATTCTCCAAAAGAGTGCCTTGGAATCCCTCAGGAGTGTGTTTACAAGTTACAAATGTGAAACTACCCTCACATCACCACTGCTGAATCAGTGTCTCTAGTGGCTGAACTTGGACACATGAGCTCCATGTATAACTCTGATCTATATCCCTATGTAAGCACCATGTATCTATTTTACAGACAATAGCCCCAGGATCTGTCTAGGGTATGGATGCGTGAATGATCAAAGTCAAGATGAGAACCTGTTTCCTGACTTGATCTACTCCTGCCATCTCCAAAGGAAAAGGCCTCTGGAGTCGTCACAGTGATGGGAACAGCAACACCACTCCACTCATTCAGGATGAGATTCTGACCTGGATTATGTGCTCGGCCCATTGCACCATGCAAACACAAATCAACGGCAGAACCAAAAATGAGAGACTCTGAAGGAATGTTCTGCAGTGCCTTAGCTGGAACCTTGCTTTAAAGACTGGAGCATGGAAGCTTCATACTACCAAGTCTTCTCTGGACAATAAACCCAAATGGATTCCAGGCTTCTGGCTTCTTGCTCTCTTCTACCTCATTCCACAACCCCCAGATACCCATAGTAAAACGACCTAGGGACGCCCTCATAAGAGCACAATTCCTGCCTGCAGGGGTTAGCAGAGCAAATACCAACACGGACATTTCAGATGGTTAATTATTTTCTTACATAATGTTACAACCTCATCTTTCAGTAGGTTATGACAATGACTTTAACAAAACTAGGAAGTTGGAGAAGTAAACATGAGCTCTTTGAAGAAAACATAGAGGACTAAAACAAAGTCAGTGGTAACCAATAAGCACAGGATTCTGACACCATCACACGTGGGAGACCACAGTGCACATGAGGGTGCTCAGCCAGGCCTCTCTCCACTGCGGTGTTCCTACTTCAGCTCAGCCACAGCCACCCTGTCCATTTCTAGTTCTAGGAAACGATCTTTGGAGTTGCCATGGTGAGGGGGACAGCAACACCACCCTTATAAATCTGGAGTGGAGTTTAAACCTCGGGAGGTAAACCAAAAGTGGGAAGCAAAACAAACACCTGCAGTGGGATCAGAATGATAGGGGAGCCGCTGTGACCACAAACAGCGATGGCCTTTGGGGCCTGGGGATACCCCTCCTCTATACTGTAGCAAACCAGTCTGTTGGGTATTGCTGGAAGACAGAGCAGAAGTACAAATGAAAGTGAAATGTGCCAGTACAGGAACTTAGCCGGGATCACAGGAAGATTGTTCCTCCTTGATTTAAGTCCTAGAAATTGAACCCAGGGCCTTGGCACTGAGCTATATCCCAAGTCCTTTTTCATTCTGTATTTTGAGACAAGGTCCCAACAGTCACTAAGTTGCCTAAGATGATGCTGTAACTTGTGATCCTTCTGCCTCAGATTCCACAGCACTGGGATCACAGGCACGCACCACCATATCCAGCTTCCTTGGTTCTTACAAATGAAAAATTATTATCTTTTTTTAGATATATAAACATGGCAATCTTGAATTTTGCAAGATAGTCTTATCAAGTAAGATATTTCTATGGCTAGGATATAGCTCAGTGGCAAAAGCACTTGCCTGGCAAGCACGAAGTTGACTTTGATTCCAGGTACCACCAAAAAAAAAAAAAAAAAAAAAAACAAGAAGGTATTTCTAAAGTACATATCTACTTGGCAACATTAAAACTATGTAAAAATAATCTAGGATTTAGAGCATAGAATGAGGATGCTTATTAAGAATCTGACTTTAAATATGACAACTATTTTCTAGTATCTAATGGTTCCACAATCAAGGTAATGATGTCAGAGGGGCTTTTATCACTAATGTTGCCAAAAGTACAACCATAGTCTAAATGAGGAGGAAAAAAAGCAGAAACTGTACATCACTTCAAATCCTGAGAATACTGTATTTTCAGGACTCTGCATTCAAAATTGCTTAATGACTTAACATTAAGTTTATCAAAACTTAATAACCATCACCAATTTTCGCAATGCAATACTCTGACTGCATCACTTTCTCTGGTTCAAACCCTAAAAAGTTCTTCAGTTTAATTTTCAAAGTCTGAGCTAGTTTTCAAGCATTTCCCTATTATTTCTCCACTATTTAGCTTCTTCATATTTGAAGAACATTACCTGGGAAATCTGAGAGACTAGCTATGCTCCACTCTATTCACTAAGAAACACTCCCTACTGGTAGCATTTCTCCTTCCATCAGAAATCAACAGAGAAGCATCTACACAAGGAGCAGGTATTAGAATCCCCAGGGGGGTTCTGTGCAGTCTGAAAGGTACTCTACTCTGGCACCTGCTAAAGATTCTGATACTACCACTCAGTTAAAAATAAATCACTGTTCCATGTAATTAACTACAGCACATTTCTGGAAAATTAGATACGGCCTTTGTAGTCTTCTCTAAGATTCTCCTGCCAGAATTCTAACTAGCTTTCAGGCCCAGCTTCAAAACAAAGAACCTATCTGAACCTTCCCCACATGACCAAGCCAAAAGTAATTTCTCTTCTCCTAGTACACATTGTACTTATATTTAATTCTTAAGATAGTTTCCAAAAATCTCATCCGTGGCTTTAGCTTTGAAAAGTAGATCGTATATCTTATTCACAGTTGTTTAGTTAGAGGGCCCAAGACAGTGAGTGCCTTGAACCTAATTTGAGCTCAAAAACAGGAAATAAAACCCAAAGCATCACTTACTGCTGTGATAAAAGGAATTGAGATCAAACTCCTGCTTTAGAACCCAGCTTACATGCAAGTATACTAGGGCAAGATTGCCCAGAAGACAACTACCATTAATGAGTCACAAAAGTATGGCTAATTCCAACCTTCCTGTGACTCTTTCCTCATTTCTACCAATTAGGGGTAAGATCAGATCATCTTTGTGATCTGATCATCTTTGTGATCATTTCTACCAATTAGGGGTAAGATCAGATCATCACATTTCTAAATTATTATGAAACAGCTCGTTCCACAATGAAAAGAATATAGCAGAGAAAAGAAATTTAAAGAAATGTTCTGACCAGTTGCAGTGACTTTTCATTAGGATTCTCCATGAACATCTTCCAGCTAGGTATGATGGCTCACACCTGCATTCTGGGAAGCTGAGACAGGAAGATCACAAGTTTGAGCCCAAACACTGCTTCTCAGCCTTTTGGCTAAGATCAAGTGAAGTTTGAACCCAATTTAGGGAACCAGTTTAACATGAACTTGTCTCAATTTTTTTAAAAGGGGAGGGAGGGTCTGAGATAAAGCTTAGTGAGAAGGCCTAGGCTTCAATCCCAGTGTCAGAAAGAAAGGGAAAGAAGGAGATAGAGAGGAGAGAGGGGAAAAGGAGAGGAAAGTGAAAGGGAGAGGGAGAGACACAGACACAGACACAGAGACAGAAGAGGCAGGCAGGCAGACTTCTTTTATGGAGAGCCTTAAATTTTCCTATAAGGATATTCATCTAGCCCAAAGAAACAAAACCAAAGACAAAGCCAGAGTTTAAATCTTTAGCACTGAAAAGGCAGGTATACACCACCAAAAGACAGACTTGAAGAAACAGGTGTAACTCATTCATTTACAGTGCTCTAAACTAGTCCACACGATTTTCAGTTAAAACTCTAGGCAGCACCTCAAGAACTCAAAGGCAAGCAAAAGACCAGTTTGTAACACTGTGACCGTACCTGGTGATGACATGCAGAAACTGTGGTGTGAGCACCGCCTGCTGAGACTTTTCAGGGTACTGGTACACCGACATTAACTCAACAGACTTGACAACCATGTAGAGGTAGCCCGCATGAGGTAATGAGAAAAAACAAAAGAGACTCAGCAACTCTTTTCCGTGAGACAAAGTTTTTTCATCAGAAGTTAGAGATCCTGCATCCAAAAGTGAAAGAAATAAATACCATTAAAATAGTAAACAAAGGGAGAAGATAAGTATTTTGAGACTCTTTTATGCAGACTGTATCAGTGGGAAACCAAAACGTTGCCAGGAAGAACTAAAAAGAGTGATATACTCAGAATGTCACCATTTAGTAACTCCTAATAAATGTGCACAACTAAATAATGACCATCGATGGCTTGTTAACATACAGGGTATACCAGACACTGTCTGCTTCCCAACAGAGCTCACACTGCTTGTATTACACACATCATACTAATAGTAACATACTTTTCATTCTGCAGTCCCCTGACCCTATTTTGGGGACTGAACCCAAGGCCTCAGACTGAGCTACCCCAACCAGCCCTTTTTAAGACATAGTCCCTCTAAATTGCTCAGGATGTGCTCAAACTTTTAATTCTCTTGACCTAGCCTCGTAGAAGGCTGGAATTACAGGTGCAATTGCATGATGTACCATTATTCTATTTTGACCAAGCCTGAGCTTAGATCAGCACTGTTAATAAAAATATATTAAGAGCCAATAGTTTTTCTGGTCACCACATTTTTAAAAGTAAAAAGCAGCTGAAATTTTAATAACTATATTGAACATATCCAAAATATTGCTATTTCAACAATAAACAAAAAATGAGATACTCCGTACATGTTTTTGTACCAAGTCTTCAAACAAAATCTAGCGTGTATTTTATACCAAGATGGTATGTGGACTGTTACACAGTCATATTGCAAATGTTAACTGTAACAAGCGTCTAATCCCATATTGAACAGTAGAGATTTGTATCAAACTACCAACTCAGAGACAAATACAGTAAATACAAGAATATGTTAAATGACTCTGTGAGCAATCAATTGGCAAAATTCAGATTGTCAATAATTTTATAGTAAGGGGCCAATTTCTTGCTAAGTAGACTGCAAAGAAAAATAAAACTCTACATAGTAAAGAGACTTTAAAAACATAGCAATCAATTGCTTTACTTTGTGCATCTGTCATGGCTTGTATCTAGAGCTCCCTTCAAAGCCTCATGGCCTTGTAAGTAGGGCTCATAGGTTAGATGTAGGATGTATAATAACTGAGTTTAGCATAATTCTGGGTGTGGATAATGGAAGCCCCACCCTGTGCATCAACAGCACCAATCAACAGGCTTATAGCCTGGATGGAACACAAAGGAAAGTGGGAAGGCGGTGGTTACTGCTTGCTGCCTTCCTGACATACCACAGACTGTTTCTCCTCTGCCTGTTTGGAGCCAGCTGACTATGAACTGAAACTTCTACAATCTGTGAGCTAAAATAAACCTTTACCCTTTTAACTTGTGGGTGTCAAACAGTTTGTCTAAGCAATGAGAAAAACAAGACCGACTTTGATTGAAACAAATTATTTCTAATCAAGAAAAATTCTTAGGAAAATCTGAACACTGAATATCTGATATCAAGGAATTTTTTATGTGATGGTATTCTGAGTTTGTGTAAGTAAAAGAATTCTTTCCTTTGACTGATGCTTGATGAAATATTTATGGATGAAGTGGTAAGAACTCTAAGATTTGTATCAGAATATCCTGGAAGGGAGCAGAGGATGGTCACGAGGCATCTGTTAAAAGTTGTGTTCAGGTATATTAGGGCCCAACTGTACTATCCACTCAACTGTGTTTGAAATTTTCCAAGTTTTAATAATAAAATACTTTTCTGATGGCCAAACTCTAAGGACATGAATTAATATCAGAAACTCAATTCTGCACTCTCTGCAATTATCCCAAAGCCAACTGTCCCATTTTTTTCTCCCTCTTCCTTCCTAAACACATCTGGACTCTAACCAAACACTACTGCTCACTTCTCCAAACACACAGAGCAATCTTGCAGCTGGTGCATGCTGGTTCCTCTATGCAGCATCTTACCAAAATCTCCATTGTCTAGAAATTCTACTCAGGCCATAGAGTCCAGCTCACTGTCTATTCAGTAAGTACTAAAGCACTGCTGCTCTCAGTTCTCAGGATACAACAGCGCACAGGACATGGCAAGTATTCTCACAGAACCTTCAGGGATTTGGGGCAGAGAATAAACAAGTAATCTCCACAGCGTATGGAGAAGGAGTATTTTTACACTGAGAGGTCACCTCCAAGGTGAGGGGACATTTGAGCTTTAAGTTGAATGACTTGAATGTAGTTATCTAAGGGAACTTTGTTCTTAACCCAGAAAGAAGAAATTGCAGGTCTTACTCAAAGGTGCTGGCATATGTGAGGAAAGGAGAAAGATCACTGTGAATGGAGAACAGTAATCAGGGTTAGACTGAGACAGGGTGAGTTCAGAGGTACAGTCGTGGAGACCATGCAATGGATTTGGGGTTTTTTAGCCAAGTACTATGGAAAGCTCACTACATTAGTGCTGACCCTCCCAGCTACTGGCCCTGTCCAGCCTTGTCTCCCATCTCCCCTGTCACTCTCCTTGGTCTTCGATCAGCTCCTCAGCTAGAAGACCTCCCCACCAGAGTCTCTGCTGCTTCCTTTGACTGCAACGCTCCTTTTTCTCCATACCACCAACCCACTCTCTAGTAAACACTTCAGATCCTCTTCTTTAGGAACCCAAAATGAAGTCAGGATCTTTTGTTATCGGCTCTCATTGGGTTTCTGTCCCATAAAACACCCATTTTGGTGCGTAATTGTGGTTATGTGAATATTTAACTATGGCCGCTTTTGCCATTAGACAGTTAATTCCGAAGGGCAAACACGTTGCCTCCTTTTGCTCACCGTGGCTTCCCTAGTATTCAGTACAATCTGCAACACTAGACACTCAGTAAATTTTTACTGAAAGAGTAAGTGAAGGTTATTATATTGAGTCAGAATAGCTATATCATTATATTAGAATAATCATGTTCTTGAAATTATGTAAAGATGTTATACAAACCATGACCAATTAGAGAGCCTACCGCTAAATGACTGAGTAAGTCAGAATCTCCAGCATGTGAACCTGAGCATCAGTATTTTCAAAAGTGCCCAGGTAAGCCTAAGGTGCAGCAGGTCTGAAAACCACTGCTCCAAATGAATTTGTGTTCAGTCCACATCTTCCATCTTGCCCACAAGGTCATCACAAGAAGCTCTGTCAAATACCTAACTGGAATCCAGGTAAATCTCTACTCCAGAAGGGCTCTAATTTCCTTTCCTGGACCTGCAGATCATTTTAAAAATGGAAATGAGCTTTGTCACACCCTCTCCATGGCTTCAATTCTCCTAGCAGACCTGACTTTCCTTTCCAGTGCTCACAGGTATTTGCTCAGAAACTTGTCCACGCCCCCAGGGAGACTGAGTAGAAGAAATAAACGTAATGCCTTGGCGGATCTCCCCTCCAGCCCAGATCCCGACACCACACCCACCACCGCACTGCCACACTCACCTGTTTGGTAAATGGGTAGCAGTTGAAGAGAATGTAACCTGATGTCATCAGATAAGGCATAAAAGGAAATATCAGGAGTAAAACGTCTGTGAGTTTAAAAAGAAAGAGGAAAAAGTCTAATTTCCATGTAACATTAAACAGGCACATAAATATTAAAAATAGGGGAGTGAAAAGATCTCAAATACCTATAGAGAAGATGCTGGACATGGAAGTATTTTATTTTTTCATCAGCTAATCCTGTAGGTTCCAGTGTAACTGATATTCCAGACTGCTCACTGTTTTCACCAAGTAGCTCCATGGGCTTCTGACAGATAACAAAGTCATCTGACTCAATCTGTGAAGTTTCATTACTGAAATCTTAGAAAACAAAAGTAAAGGATATAACAACTTCAAGTACTACCTTCTTAAAGTAGCTTTCACAACATTCACCAATTAGATAGGCATAGTATAATTTTATATACACACATTTTATGCAACTACAAAGCATTATAGTTTTCAAAAGTTTTAACACCTGTGTATTTATTTCTCAAGCCACCGACAAAGTATGACAAAACAGTGGTGGTGCAAGCCACTATCCCAGCTCTCAGGAGACTGAAGCAGGAGGATCATTGCAAGTTTGAGACCAGCCTGGGCTACAAAGTGAGCCCAACGCCAGCTTGAACTGCATAGCAAGACTCTGTCTCAAATACAAAACAAAATAAAAGTACAACAAAATACGTATTATCATCCCCATTTTACCCACAAGAAAATTCAGGTGTTACTCAATGGCATCTAATTAATAAATATGAGAATAAGACTAGAAATCCCTCACCTAGTAGTGGCTCAGTTCCATTATTTATGTTAACAAGTGTAAACTGACATATATTTACATGGTATATAACAATATATGCATGGCTACATTATAAACACAAATTTGATGTAATCAGCATAATTAAACTAATAAATACTGTGGCATGATGCCACACTAGACACAACAGAGCCAATTGGTCTACCATCCCAGAATTCTTTATAGACAGTTAAAGGTCACTATTTTCTCTATAACCAGAACAAGAAATAAATTCATCATTTACCTGTATTTGTCTGTTTTACCGTATTGCTGGCCTCACGAGGATGGTGGTTAACTCTCTGTCCATTTTTAGAGTCCGATTCCAGTTTTAGGATTAAGATTTCCAAATCTGACATGACAGCAACATATCCAACACAAAAAGAGATTTCGACAGGAGTGATATTATCTAAGTGGATAATTAAAGAACGCTCGAAGTCCAGTATTGAGAATTCCTCATTAATGACCCGGTATGTCAAACTAAATAAGACTAACTTATTTGTGCAGCCAACGAGGAGGTCTCCTTTCACAGGGCAACAGGAAATGCACAAGGGGGCCTCCGAGAGGGGCATTTCAACAATAGACATCTGGTCTCTGAAGGATTCCCTCAGGGGCGCCTCCACATTATGCCCCACCATTCGGATACACACGCGGGAGTTCTCTGCCCTTTTACTTCTCCAGTTCACATAAGCTCGTAGGAAGGTAGCCTTGTTTTTTTCTTCAATTGCTACCAAGTAGTCCCCTGAAACGGAAATGAGAGTATACTTGGAATCTACGATTAGAAATACCACCACTTACGTTGCTGCGATGAAACAAAACATACCATTAGCTATAGACTGAATAAAACAAACCCCAAATAAGAGAATCTCAGGCATGTTTTTAACTTACATTATTAGACACTGCGGTCCTTAAACATACGACCTTCCCAATTTTCAAGTCTAAAGATAAACTGCTAATTATTCATGTGATATAAAACCTACATTTTATTTCCTACATTAGCTCTATGCATTTCACCAGAACTGTAAAGTTAGCTCCAACAAAGCTCTATTAACAAAAAGGGTCAGCGATACTAATGTATGGTTGTCATTTATTAAAATTAGGTACAAATTAAGGAACTCTTGAGTTTAACAGAACTTGCACTTTATCTCCTCCCCTCCCCACAAAAGCCACAACTTTGAAAAATAGGATAAATCTAGAAGTAATAAGTAAAATATAAAACCAAGTTAACGTTTTCTTAACTTTGTGGTTTTTTTTTTTTTAACTTAGAAGAGTAACTTATTCGTTGTTATATTTTAATGTGGGAATTCAAAATAGTAAAGTGGTAAAGAGATGCAAAACAAAACGCGTCATCATCTCTGCCATCCACCCCAGAGGACACAACGTAAACACTCAGCCTGGTGTGTGGCTGTCAACCTTCTGCTCTTACACAGAATAAACCTACAGCACAGAGCCGTATTCTGCCTTCTCTTTTCTGTATCATACTGACTACTTAACAATCTGCAGTATTTTTAAATGATAAATCTTTCCCTACAAGTTGACACATGGGCACCTAACATCCTCTTCATTATATCTTATATACACAAGTATGATAATTTGATAATTTACTTACCTGCTACTATATTCAAGTATGTTCAGGTTTCTTTGCATATATATATATATATATATATATATATATATATACACACACACACACACACACACATACATATATAATCGTGGATTAAATAGGCCTATACCTATATGCTTACTGAGGGAAGGAGGAAAGAATGGAATAGAGACTTACAAGTGAGGATGCTGGGCCAAAGAGCAGGTGCATTTTACACCATAATGGATACTGCCAGGTGGGGCCCCTATACAACAGAAACTCATGGTGCCTGCAGTGCTGTTAGAGTGTCTGCTTACCCATGTCCTCCCAGCAATGACTCTATGTGGCTGTGGAGATACGGACTCTAACAGTCGGCACGATTCACATTACATGGACTACTTGTAAAACTAGCTGTCTTTTCCTATGCATGTCATTCATTATCATTTCTCTTCTGTGAGTTGTCCTTTTTTTTATTAAGTGGTTGATTTATTTTTCTTAAGGAACTGCAGTTCTCTAAGCCTTCACTGGCCATGAACAGTACATAACTTGATTCTACTTTTGTCTTTGCTTATGGTTTCTCTCACCATATAATTGTTACATACTCAGATATGTATCTTTTCCTTCTTGGCTTCTGAAATTTCCTTCTTTGCTTAAACAGTCCTGTGTCTTCCAAATTACATAAATACATAGGATAGTTCTTTTATATTTCAATGGCATTCATTCTTGGTACTACAGATTGAATCCGGTATCTTTCCATTGGGCCATACTCCCAGCCCTTTTTAAATTTTTTTATTTTGAGACAGGGTCTCTCTAAATGCAAAGCCTGGGTACCACTCTACGTGGCCTAATGGAGCTCTTTTAAATTTTTATCCTTCGGGGCTAGGAGTTTAGCTCAGCAGCATAAGCACCTGCCTTGAAAGCAGGCAGTCGTGAGTTCGATCCCCGGTACCGATAAAAAGGAAAACGACAAAAAAAAAAAAAAAAAAATTTATCCTTCAGAATTGTGTTAATAAGCACAGGGGATTCTCCAGGCAGGATTTAACTGGATTTTCTGTCTTCCAGATGTGGAACCTGTAATACTGATACTACCATGTAAACCAGCCCTTTGGCAACAAACTGAAGTTAAAATGTTGCAGTTATACTGACTTTTCCTACATATAGCAGTATGCAAGCAGGGTAGCCCCTTTCTGCAGAAACTCACAGGGATGAATGACCTCCTCCTCCAAAGTGATCCAGCCTTCAAAAGAAGGCAAACAAAGTTAGGTGTGATGGCACACACTTTTAATCCCAGCACTGGGAAGGCTGAGGCCGGAGGATCACTGATCACTGAGTTTGAGGCCAGCTTGGGCTACAAAGTCAAGGCAGCCTCAACTGCATAGTGAAACACTGTCTCAAAAAAAAAAAAAAAAAATCATCAAAACAAAAAAGAAGGCACTTTCGGGACAGTGGTTCCTTGGATGCCACACAGATGGCATGTAAAGCCACCGTCCTTGAACTCTTGGTAGGACACTTACAAATACCAGTAGGCACAGTAAGTTTTTCAGTGTTCACCGACACTAAGTACATTGACACTATTTTGCTACCATTACTACCACCCAGAACTTTTTAAATCTTTTCCAATACTGTGTATTACTCATCAAGCAGTAACTCCTCATTCCTCTCTCCCCACAGACCCTGGTAATGGATCATTACACTTTCTTTTTCCATGAATTTGACTACTCAGCACCTTATATAAGTTGGATTGCACAGGGTTTGCTTTTTTATGTCTGACAGAGTCACTTAGCATCATGTACTTAAGGTTAAGGTTCCCCCAAGCTTAGCACGTATTAGAATTCCATTCCTTTTTAAGGTTAAAAGCCTGTAACATTATCTATCTGTTCACCTGACACAAGCCCCTTGAATTGTGTCCACCTTCTGCTTCTCATAAACAATCCTGTGACAAACTCTCGTGTACAAATATCTATTCAAGTCCCTGCTTTTACTTCTTTTGTGTATATACGCCAAGTGGCAGAAGTGAAACTGCTGAATTACATGGTAATTTTATGTTTATTTCCGTAATTATTTATGTGCCTCTTTTTTTATGTGCTTTTGGTCACTGATATGTCTTCTTTGGAAAAATATCTATTCAAATCCTTGGCTATTTTCCACATCAATTTTGTTGTTGTTGAGTTGTAGTTCTTCATATATTCTAAATATGAATCCCCTACCAGATAAATGATTTGAAAATATTTTTGATTCCATAAATTGCCTTTTCAATCTGGTGGTAAGGTCCTTTGATTCACCAAAATATAATTTATATGATATCTAACTAATCCATTTTTCTTTTGTTGAATATTAAATTCAAGTTAGTAAATAAATTTTAAAACTAAGAATATTTGCTTAGTTACTAGAAAATTTTTTATTCTTACATCTATAAATACATACCTATTTCTTTGATAAAGTTCATACAACTGTTTAAAATCTGATAAATGGATGCAATTTGAGAATACTGTAAGTGAAATAGACCAACCATACAATTCAAATATCAATGGCTTGTTATTAGAAACTCAAAATATATACACATATAAAGAACATATTGGAAGATAAAAAGGAACTATGGATAAATTCAAATAATTTCCCAAAATTACTGTTGTTTCAAAAAATATTTCAATCTATATGTTAATTTGTTTTATTTGTACTACTAGTTTTTCTTAGTTCACTGAAAAGAAAGTCATGCTATTTGGAGGGCTTTGTTTGGTTGGCTTTTTTTTTTTTTTTTTTTTTTTTTTTTTTGAGACATGTTCTTGCTATACAGTTCAGCCTGACCTTGAACTCACTTGTCATCAAGGCTGGTCTCTAACTCACTGTGATCTTCTTGCCTTAGTCTCCCATGTGCTAGGGTTACAGAATAGCCAATCTACCCAGCTAGTCTTGTGCTATTATATCTTTTCTATGACTTGTCCTGAGTAACATTTTTGCCATTCTTCTAACATTATGGTAAACAGGGAACTATCGTAATTCTCTATTTTGTTACAAAATTTTGTTTTTTTTCATTGCAGTGTGCATTTACATTTTCTATATTAATATCTATATGTATTATACTAAAAATGTAAAATCCGATAATTACACATTGTACACACATTGTTTTTTCAGATTAATGAATTGTTTCATAAGCAATGAACTAGCACTTGCTAAATAATCTATGTAACAAAGCTTATGGTGAGAGGTTTTGTTTTTCTTTGTTCTGTTTCCAGGGTGGCCTTAAATAGCATCCTCCTGCCTCAACCTTATGAATGCAGAGATTATAGGAATGTGCTCCTATGCCTGGCATGATGAGAGGTTTAGAACTGAAACCTCACAATAAACCTCAAAATAACCCCTCAATATACATATTTCTCTCCATATTTTACAGATCAGGAATCTGAGCTTAAACTAAGGTAACTTGCCTAAGGTCACAAAGCAAACAAATAACAGAAAAGATCAGGTTAACACAAAGGTCTATATTCCCTCCCCAATAATGCTGCCTCTCAAACAGAAAAAAGTTACAAGTCTACAGGATTCTGTAGAGGTGATTACTTACCTTCATGAGATAAGGGAACTAAATTTTGGAGCATTATGTGCCCAGTGTCTTTCTTTCTCTTTCTTTCTTTCTTTTTTACTTTACAAAGTTTCTCTATTCATTCAATTTTTAAAAAATCATGATCATGATGCTAAAATTTCAAAACTTCAAATTTTCTATATATTTTCCTTCCTAATTCCCCAAATGTTATAAAAAAAGAATAGTTTTCAGTTGATGTGAGATTTTTTTTTAAAAAACTGCACGTATTTTCTGCTTGGGTAAGAGACCTGCACGGTATTTATAGTAAATTTAAATAAATGAACTCTTTCTGATTCTGACAAGGGGAGACTTGCAACAGAGGAGGACACTGGGCACTGAGAACAAAACCTCCAGGTGCCACCAATGGATAGGGAGGAAGGGGCTAAGGGGCTGAAAGAGAAATGCTGCCAAGTGAGCAGAAGGTTAGTTTTCTGGGTATCGGCATAGCCAGGAGTCATCCTACTTCAGCTATGAGAGCATTAATAGAAGCTGTACCCAGGAGCTGAGGTTCAAGTTGTGGACGGAAAGCTGCCCTTAAGCCACACAAACCAATGATGCTACATCATCCCACATCACTCTTGAACTTTAAGGCAGCCAACCAGAGTATAAAAACACCTCTGTTCTTCAAGGCCTCTATTCATAAAATCATCATGCAACTCGTGGCCTCATGAAGCCAGGGTGGCTTTGGTCAGTGTTTTTCAAACCTGATTAATCCCTGACTCATCTCAGTGCTGGCATAACAGAGAAACTACTATACTGGATCTCTGATTCTGTGCCCAAGTGTGGGGACTTTTTTAAAGCGTCCCAGGAGATTTTGATGCATAGCTAGTGGACACCCAAGGATACCAGGAATACCAGGACACCCAAGGATACCAGGAATCAACATTACTGACAGGCAAGAAAACCAGAGGTTTATACGATGCTTGTCATTTCAAATTTTAGAGTAATTTGAAAGAAGCAGGCAAATCGTGTAAATATTTCCTCAATCTACCCCACCCCACACACACACATTGAAACTGGTAAGCATGCTTACTCAATACAACTTTTTATTTATTTATTTATTTATTTATTCGTACTGGGGATTGAATTCACGACCACACACTTGCAAAGCAGGTATTTATGCTGCTGGCTAAATCCCCAGCACTTTTTTTTTTAGCTAAGATGCTGCTATATTGCCCAGGTTGGTCTTGAACTTGTGATCCTCCAGCTTCAGGCTCTCAATCATATAGGATTACAGATGTGCACCCCTGCTCATACAGCACTTCTAAAGGTTAAAAAAATGCCACAGGACATAGTGGGGGAAATTACAAATACTTTTTAAAAATAAACCATAATCCTGTACTTTGAAAGGCTAAACCAGGAGGATCACAGTATGAGGCCAGGCTGGTCAACTTGGTGAGTTAGTGAAATTCTTTCTCAAAATGTAAAAAAATATATAGATATAGATATATATAAAAAGGGCGGGGCTGGGGATTTAGCTCAGCGGCATAAGCGCCTGCCTTGCAAGCTTGTAGGTGTGAGTTCGATCCCGGTACCACTCCCTCCAAAAAAACCCAAAATGTAAATAAAAAGGGCTAGTTCAGTTTGAAGGCCCTAGGTTCAATTCCCAGTAGCACGGAAAAAAAAACAAAACTAAAATCAGAATTTTTCCACTGAAAAGGAAAGATCAGGGACAATAAGTAGTTTTCAGTGTGGAGTGCTGTATAGGCCTCAACTGCTACTGTCCTTACTCAAAAGTAAAATAGTTACAGCAAAGTAATTTAGTAATAAAATTAGTTATCCTTTATTTTAAATAATGGTGACCTAAACATGAAGTGGTTTTGCTTTGCTTTTTTAACTTTTTAGAGAGAGACAGGATCTCACAAAGCAGTTCTGGTTCGTCTTGAACTTACTCTGTTGCCCACCCAGGTGGCCTGGAACTCACAGCATCCTTCCTGCCTCAGCCTCCCAAGTGCAGGGATTATAGGCATCCACCACCATGCTTGGCTAAGCTTTTGGTAATATGAAAAAAATTCATCTTTACTTGACAAAATAATCAGATAGTAGATATAAGAGCTCAAATTTTTACTGAGTCACAAAAATCCCAACATCAGGAAACCCACTGATTTAGTAATGCGACATTTTTCAAAAAGCAAGAATTGAGATCCAAAGGTTTTGTACAGACTCACAGCGAATCAGGTGCAGAATAGGGATTATAGAGAGAAAATCTGTACCCCTCCAGATTCATCATGTTCTCTCCACTCTGTTAGTGCCACAGCCACCAGCCTTTCCACCGTAAATTCTGTACTTTGTATCCCTCTTGAAAAGTAGGAATCAAAGTTTAAGTGCACTGGACAGTAAAGGAATGCTACAATGAATCTTTCTGTAATCTGAAAGAAACTTTATTTTTAAAGTTGGACTTTGAACGAAGCCTGCCCACCCAATACTCAGTTGCTACTGCCTCACACCTCTGCCGGAAAGGAACAGTCCATGCTCCTACAACTTAAGGAAGGAGGCAGAGGGCAGGGGGCAGCTGGACAATTTTAGCCCAACTTCTATTGATATACACTTAAAAATCAGCACATAATGATTATCAGCGCGCAAAACCGGACCACAAGTGGATGGAGGCCGAGAGGTGGAAGCCCTGGTTGTACTGGGCTGATTTGGAGTACTAGAAGTATTTACCGTGAGCGTCAAGTTTCTATTTTCCCTATCCCACTTTTGTACACCGTTGAATTGTCTACACTTAACAGGCCTCAGCAGGATAGGCTCGGGATGCCAGCAGTGATCTGAGCCTCTGCCCTACTTGAAGCACTGTCACACCTTCTGTTGCTATGACAACCGCACAGCTCCGCGCAACCTCCCCAGGAACCCCCCACCCCCACCCCCAGCACAGAGACCAGCAGCAGCTTGCAGGAAGCACGCAGTCCCTTCCCGGCAAACCGGAGCGCAGGCGCCCCTCGTCCGCCCTACTCACCCGCCTCGCTGTAGGCCATGCGCAGCACCCTGCCCAGCGTGGAGAAGGCGCATCTCGGCTGGCACAGCTCCTGGCCGGTCACGGCGAACGCCTCTACCTTGCAGCCGGCCGCCACGAACAGTGCGTCGCGCCCCCCGCCGCAGAAATGCTCCGGCTCCAGCTTGCAGGGAACCACCTGCTGCGACCCAAACGGATGCAGGTTGTACAGCTGCACCATCCTGGCGCCCGGCTGCAGGCCGCGCCGGCCTGCCCTGCGAGGCGCCCAGACCCCGCGCCGGCCGCGCAGACCCGGCCACTTCCGCGAGCGAGCTGGCCGCCGAGTCACGTGAGCGCCGGCGCCGCTTCTTAAAGAGGCCGCGGGGGGCGGGGCTGGGAGGGGCGGGGCGGGGCCCCGGGGAGCTGCGGGGGGAGGGGCGCCGGGCTCACGTCCCGCCCTCCAGGCCACGCCCCGCCCTCCAGGCACGCCTCGCCCTCTGGCGCCCCCTGATCGGAATCCTGCGGGCTGGAGAAGTCTAGCGTGGAGCTCACCTGAGTACCCCACGCTCTGAGCTGGGCAAGCCCAGGAACCGCTGGGTGCTTTCCTTTGTCTTTGCGAGTTCCTTGTGGAGGGAGACAGCTGCTTTGGTCCCTGCGTCCTGCTGTAACCTGGAATCCTCTGCTCTCCTGTACGGTTTCTATGTGCCTCGGGACCACTGCTCGGCTCTTCCCGGTAGTCGTTTGAGTTTCTGTAGAATGAAGCTGCAAAAACTGCTGTGCACGGCTCACCTCGGAACTAAACATAGCAGAGTTGCCCGGAAATACTAAAGATTTTAGTGAGCTTTTTGTGTTTCTTTTGTTTTTGCAAAGAAGAAAATCTTGAAGGTACTCTACAAGAAGGGATTTTTTAAAGTGACAATCTGCGGACACCATCTTGTGGACATTTGATCAAAGGTTAGTTGTAGCCTCAGAGGATGAGACAAATCTCCTAGCCATCAGTCCAGGGCTCCCAAAACTATCCCTAGCCTGTATCCTCTATGGACTCCAACAGTGGGGAAACTCGAGGTCACACTCTCCATCTTCTTCCTCTTGTAGCAGATTTAACTGAAGTAGAGCTTAAAACTACTTTTTCCAATTCCTTTATAATGTATGTTCTTGTGGTTTGGGCTGTTTTGTTTTGGCACAAAGGGAGTGTTAGGGGAAAAAGGAAGGAAGAAAAGAAAGAAAGAAAGCCCAAGAGGACGGGTTTATTCAGAACAAACCTGAGAGGATGCAGGCAAAGAGGACTGCAGCTGCCTACTAAAAACAAGGCTTGAGAGAGCACAAGGGTAATGATTCTCCAAAGGGGAGGCTCGGGAAAGCACAGTACTGTTTGTTATGGGTGGCTGGGCCATAACATTTGAGTTACTGAGTGTAGCTGTGCTGGGGAGGGGCTAGAGTGGTCCTTGTTAGGATGGTGACCGTCGTAGGTCTATTCCTTCATTCAGACTCTGGTTAGATAGGGAAGTAGGGCAGGGCATCTGTTTCTTAACTACTTCCTGCTGATGATGGGGAAAAGGTCAGGGGTTTTGACTGTATTGCAGAAGGCGAACCATAATGATGTGGTCTTTGGCAACTACCTGTGCAATGGTTGCAATCTTGTTTGTGAGCAACCTTTGAAACAGATTAAGCATGGCAATAATAAGGTGAGTAAAAAGAGAACAGGCTCTATAAAGGGAAAAAAATCTAAGGCAAGGCAGTGGACTTCCATGAATTTCATGAATTCTGTGGGATACCTGGAGACATTTGTTGTAGTGCCTGAGCCTCTGTGTTTATCTCTTGCAGCTCTGGAGTTACATTATCATGGTTATCTGGGATAAAGGTACATGTTGTGTGAAGCATAGCTCATGTGTCTCTTGGGCAGACTTTGCATGGAGGCAGTGGATCCCAGGCACTTTCATGGTTGGTTCCATCTTCATGATCGCTGGGAGTTTCTTAGTCTCTAGGCAAGAGTAAACTTTACCAAGAGAATAAGCACCTATGATCAAAGCATGAGCATCCGTATGGAGAAATAGGCTAGGGAAGGAGACGTGTCCAAGCGCTATGTGTAAGACATTGGAATAGCAAGTGTAAACAGCTGTATATGGGTGTAGCTGGAAACTGTTCGCAGGGGTCAATGATTAGGACTCTTTTTTATGTAGAGCTTATATTAGTATTACTTTTATATCTCTTTGATCATGCCTACTGCTGGGTGTTCAAGACCAAATTAAAGTGAGACCTGCATTAATCAAAATTAACCTCTTTCTATCAAGGTCAGTGAAGGCTCCTCAGGAATTGCTTTAGGGGCCTCTTAGTTCCTCTATTAGTGTCAGTCACAGTCTTTCTTGACCATGTGATTTCACGTGGAAGCATGGGAGATGTTTTTCATCCTGGTGACCCTACTTTTTAGCACACTGTACAGTGCTTTGATAACTCTCCTCCGGGATCCAACAATCTTTTTGTTGAGGTTGGGGAGGTCACCAAACTCATAGGATCCTATTGAAAAGTCCCCTCATGTCTGGGGTCCTTACTGACCTCGGAGGGACAGAGCCAAAATACCAGCTGTCCTCATAGCCCAGTTATCTTTTTAACTCTGGGCTCCAAACCTCAGTTGCTGAACATACAGGAGATTAGTTATGTTAGTAGCGCAGTAACAGTAGGTTTAATCTTACGATCTTAACTAGCTATTAAGCACCTTGAAATATATAATATGATCAGGGAACTGTTATTTTCTTACCAACCATGGTTATCAGGAGTTTAATCCCTGCAGAATATTAACAGATAGCAATTATAAAGCTTCACTGAGAAAATTTGAAATCAAGTGAAACATAATCCTATAGTGCCATCTAAGAAGAATGTATCTGTCATTAGATGAATGTCATGTGACATTGCCTGGAATCTATAGTGAGCATCTCTAAGAGTTGTAACTCATAACATAACACACACATAACAATATGGCTGTCTTATGCTGGATTAGCATGCATATCTTATCACAAATACCTGGGAAACAGTTGAGGGAAGTCATCCACTCGAAGAGCTGTTCTTAAGTTTTGCATCTTTGAAGACCTGTTCATTTGGGAAATAATACTTCAGGAAGTCAGCAGTGAAGAGTGTCACCAATCAGGTTAGAACTGCTCAAGGAGGCCGCTCTACTTGGTCTTTGGCCACGATAGCTGTCCATAGCTAGGTATGCAGAAAAGCTTATGTCTAGTGTTAATCTCAGAAATGACAGTTAAAGCAGTTTGAAAGCACAAGCTAGACGAGAGGAAAGTAGGCTGTTGCCCTTTGGATTTTAAAGTGTCCTTATCTTCTTTTATTTTTCTTTCCTCTCAGATTGTTACATTTTTAAATGTGACTGCCTGCGAAGAAATCTGCAAGTAGCTTTGAAATGTATCTTAATCTCTATTGAAGCACCCAAAGAACAAGTTAACCCTGTAATTATAACGTAAGAATCTACAACACAAGAAATGTTTTAATCATATCACTTAAACAAAAATGCTCATTGGAACCCAAAAGGAAATTCATCAATCTTTGTTTTCATGGGCCTAGAATTCTTATCCCCCCTTTTCAGCTGGTCCCCATGACTGAGTTGCCAGTTGTTAAAAATGAATTTGCTTGTTAAGACTCAAAAGGGATTTTAGAGCAGCGAAAGTGAAACTTTAATAAGTTCAGTTATCCTAAAATCCCATAAAAAAGGCTTTTCATGGAAATCTAAAAAAGACCCAAAAGAGGAAAACCTTTTGGGCTCAAACAAAGCAGCTGTAGGCAGTGTCACTAGTTACTAGCACAGACTGAACAAGAAGACAAATTATTTACATCTGAGTACACTTCAAATGTATCAATAATGAGTGTCCTTGAGCCCTAGTAAAATTACTGATGGGGGTTCTCTTCCTTATAAGTCTGTCCCAGTTTGGCATAATTTACTGACTTGACTTTTGTTGCCTTTAGGCTTTCTTTAATGTATTAAAGAAAATATCAATGGCCTCTTTCCCCAAGGGGAGTTTCATACTTTCAGTGGGGCATGGAGGACAGGCAGGGCTTCTCTTCCATAGGGGCGTCTGAGGCCTCTTTGTCTTCATATGTTTTATTTTTTTGTACTTAAAACGCTTTACCCACCCACTCCCTTTCGGCTGAACAGGTCCAGCTGGCTTATAGTGTTGTAATTTAGAGCCTCCTTGTCATTTTCCACTTGTCCATGTGTATCTTCTTATCCTTGATAGGGCCTTACCTCTGAGGTAGACAGAGCAAATTCGGCAGAGAGGGAGGGAGGAAGGGGGAGTGGTTAGAGAGAAGAGGGGTTTGGGAGCAGAAAGTGAAGAAAACTTAGGCATAAGGTACCTCCTGCCACTTGCCACTCCCTGCAGGGAGTTATCAAGGTCATGAAGAACCTGGAAAGTGAACATACCAAATTTGGGCCACTGGCTGCATAAAATATGAGACCTTTAGGCTGAATATCCCCTTTTAAACTGAGGAGTGAAAGACATTTTAGAAGCCAGCCCGAAGGAATACCTGCCACCCTACTCCAATTTCTCCAGAATTCCACCAGGAATACCCCAGGTGTTACAGGCAGCTGTGCTAATTACAAATATAGGCAGGCAGATAGGTCGAGGCCCTTGAAGGAGCAGATACAGAGGACCACATGTCTCATGACCTTGGAGGACACACCAGACAAAGGCAAAACAAATGCATCCACACCCTTAAGTATAATCCTTAGGGAGTATGTGTGGGTCACTTTGAGAAGCCCACGAGTCACCATCCCACCACCCTCTAGGAAGAATCACTAATTGGTAAAGAATGCTCGCTAGCTGTCTGACTCACTTCCCCATTTGTCCCTGATTTGATCAATTTTACCTGAACAATTAAACTTACTGGTTGACCATAGCTCTGACCCACCTCATGCCTATCTGCCTTGCGAGTTCCCAGTTTTCCCCAACTGTAGACCTGCCTCACCTCATGATTTTACTCTATAAAAGTCCCTAAAAAATACAGAATCTTTGGCAACATACTCAGGATCCCTTCTGTCTCTCCGACAGATTTCTTTCTCTCAATAAACATATTCTGTTCCTAACCTCCATTGGTCCTAAAATTCATTCTTTGATTTTAGAGAACACGAACTCACACTGGACATAGAAGGTTGGGAGTTTCATTCTCCTATATCAGTGTCTCCTTCCAGAATTGGTTTCTGGGGTCTTCTCGTTTTGAACAGAGAATTGGCCCAAACAAGTGAAAAACAGTAGCTTATTTGATAAAGTAAAAGTAAAGCATAAAAGAAGAAGGGAAAGGATATACAAGATAGATAACTACACTATTAATTTCTGCTACTTCGTCAAAATAG